AAATGTAAAATTATTTGCAGCTATGGTTTCCCTGTAGATGATCACTACCAAAAACTTAACAAAAACGAGAATATAATGAAAGCAGTTTCACAATATCACTTAGGCTGACACGTCAGGCACACAAAAAGAGAGAATTGTATAGAGGTAACCATAGCTACAAGCACAATCTCCCTCTCTTCTTCTCGAGCCATTTTTTTAAATTGGAACTTTATTTAAAGGGTGTGGGACACTGAACACCAAAATATTGCAAAGTTCACAACCAAAAAAATTTATTATCTTAAGAAGGGGCTTTAAACGGAAAGCCAAAAACTAGTAACTGAATGCTATGGATATAAACTATTACAGAACACCTCAAACTCGCTTGGGAGCTTTGCATCATAACTATTAGGATGATAATTAAAAAACAGACTTCAGGTTGAAAAATTTTTCAAAAAGCACTGTCAACTTCTCAAAACAAATATACCAGTTGCATACAGTATTATTATCATTTGTTTTAAATAATTGTTATTAAGTGTTAAGCTTTAAAAACATGTACTATCCTAGATATATGTTGGCGGCATATTGGACAATCTGTGATCTGCTTGCCACATTTTGTACAAGTGACCATGTGCCCACATTCAAGTAATACACAGTCTATAGTCGCATCCATACATATTTTACACTGCTCTTCAGAATCGTCTTCTTCATCAGGAGCCATTGAGCCTGCAAACAGTTTTTTTGTAGAGTGTTAGCAACAAAGTTATATTAATTTGGGTAAACAAAGGATGTGTTGAGAAACATTTTTTTTTTCAGTCTGCTAAACAGCTGGCTTGGAGGAAAATATCCGAGTACTCATGGGAAAAATAGTGAGGCAAATTGGCTACATTTCCTCAAGCACAAGAACACTCGGGGGAATTTGTGAAATCTCGAAGTATTTTACAAGGAAACAAGTCTGGTTACCTCTATTTTTATTGTTTTAATAATCTGATAGAGTTGAAAGAAAATGCCAGAGAAAAAATGGAAAAATTTTAAGGAGGAAGTTTCTACTGAATAAAAATGTCGTATTTTCCACTTTCGCAAAAAATCTGCTTGCATAATTTTTTTAAAATCACTGTGCATTTTACTTTTCTAATGCCAAAAGTTGTCATCCAAAACAATTAGGGGTCACTGGCTTAATTTTCTAGTTATCAGTGCTGGAAGCTAAAAAGTAGTTCTAAGTAATCCTTAAGATATGTTGCCATGGTAACTGCTAATGACAAAATAATGGTTGTTTTAAGTCAAGCAAATTTGTATAATCCAACTCTACAAAAGTGCTGTTATGGCTTTGGCTTGCTTTTTTATTTTGTCCTTTTAAAGTTAAAACTGTCAAAAAAGAGGAAAACTGGTACAAGCCACCTCACATGGGTTGAATTTGGAGAAAATGTTAGGGCTTACTTTAACTAGTAGCCTGTGTAGCAAGATTTTCCATGTGAAATCAAACTATTTAGTCATCCAGATTTCTTGACTCCTAACTTGAATGTTGAGCTTACTCAAGTCGACTTCCCCTGAAATTCCTTCAAACAGTTATTGTAATTTTACCCTCGCCAACTCGAAGTAATTTTCGTTTCCCTTTAGATCACTACTCTATAATTTTGCCCTCGATAAATCCAAGCACGTAGCTAGTCTAAAAAATACAGTGTACTGAAGTCTGAAATATTAAACTTATTTCAAAACTACAGTCAGCGAGGCAAGTAACATGCGTCCAAGTTTACATGTAAAATAGCGTATTGTAATTTGAAACCCCACTTCAGCCAACAGCCAAGGAATTTTAATACATAACATTATTGTTAATTTACAACACATGACGTTCGTAGTAAGAGAAAGCGTATAGTAAGTTGTTTTCTTTTTCACCGCGAAAAGACGTTTTTCCACAAAGTCGGTTTCTAATTTTACATCAGCCATATTTGCTGTTGTGAAGAAATACTCACAAGTTGCATGTATTTTTACAAGCAAAATTAGTCACCTTAAAAATACACAAAAATTTGCGTTGAAGAGTTTGTGTACAAAATATTTACACGCAAGTTTTTTGCCTGGAAATCTGCCATGTTGCACGCAATTTACACATGTGTAAGTGCTATAATGCCTGTGGCCTGTACTGTAATTGAAAATGTTGTCCACTTCCATTGCACTCCCACAATAGTTGTTGCTGAATCTTCTTCTCAAGGAATGGAAGTTCAATAAAATCTCTCATTAGCCTTGCCCCGCCATGATAATCACCAACGGACCAGAAGGGCATTTAATTTCACAACCCAATTTCAACGACTGATTCCAAATTCCTACCGCCCTGGATATATAGCTGATTCAATAAAGGTTGCTCTGGGCATTGGGAATTGGCAATTGGGCATTTGGGCATACCAAACAAAGTAATAATTCGCCTGAGTGATCACCAAAGAATAGCTTCCTATTGCCCAATTCCCAATGCCCAAAGCAACCTTTATTGAACCAGCTGGATAAACAGATTAAATGCTGGCCTGGCAGGGGTAGGAAGCATGTCTGTTAGTCTATTTGATCAATATAATTTATCATGATACTTTTAAAATTAATACTAGTAATTTTGTTATGTCTGCGTCCCTGATGCGTTGAATTCCCAAAGACGCAAAATAATTTGTGGCGTGCATCCCGTAGGACGCAAAGAATGTTCAATTGATTTTAAGATTTTTTGGTAGAATATCCTGTTTGTGTGATTTCTATGGCTGTTGATAAAGATGCATATTTGCTTTAGTCTTTTTTGTGCTTTAGATACATCTAGAAGGACTATATTTTAATTTCAATAAACTGTAATAAAGACTTTTGACATCTGTCTCCAGACTAATAATATTGTCTGGTTACATAAAAGCCCAAGCATTGTCAATTTAGAATTCCTTGTTTTTTTGAACTGGGACTCATTGGTTATGGACAGGGACTAATGATTTTTCTACAAAATGAGTCCTGGGACTCACCATAACTATTTGTGACAAAATCCCGTTAACAATGCCAAAACCCAGGACTTACTTTTCTTTTTGTTCACCTCCTGTTTGGATTTCCAAAGAGTCCTGACCCGATCTAAGAGTTCTTTCTTTTCACAGCATCCCTTGAAGTCCACAAAGTTAGCAGAAAGAATACACTTCAGCTCTTTCACTGAGAGATCCTCTACTTCGTCGATGTTTTGAATCTGACTTAGACTCTTGCATACAGAGGATGGGGGAGCCGATGGACGCACCTGAAAACAAGAAGACAAAGTAGCCTACATTACACAGGGTTACATGGATAACGGTGAGAGCACAAATGGACTGATAATGATAGTTAGAGGCACACTTTTTGTGAAAGTCTATACAGTGGAAGCTCACCTAACGGACACTCTCATAACCAGAAAGCTCTACTCATGGCCACCTTCACAAAACGCCGTTTTTCTCCACTCTCACACAAACTCTGTATTTTTACATTCCAGTAAGGGGCCAGCCGCAGTTACAGATACCTTTTTCGCATCCCGAGGGTGTCCAGTTATGAGAGCTTTCACTGTACTTAATGTATTAAGTGGAATTGTGTTTTGCAGCATGCGAAGAAAGTCGTGTCCGGTAGCCTGGGGCCAGTGGATGTTGCAATCGGGCTAGTGAATCCTGTTCTTAACTTGCCCAAAGGGCAAGTGAAGTTTTTTGGGAAATTCAAATTACAGAAGAACTACAACCAATGCTGCTCATCAAAAAAATGTTTGGGGTACTTAAAAGACTCTTGCCTGAATGGCAAGCCGTAAAAACTCACTTTCTTTGCACCCTGGTGTTGTCTCCTATTTCAGCTGCAACAAATGCTGCACACCTGAGAAAAACTTTAGTCACAGGTGGTAAAAAGCCCTTATAGATTAACAACAAAAATTTTATGACTACCTGCACAGGCTGAACATTTGGCTGTGGCTGAGCGGTTGAGCTCCCTTGTTGCCCAGCTGTCCTCTGTGATTGAGTGTTTGTTTGACTGTGGTGTTGTCCTTGCTGAGAGGGTGGCATAGACGGAGGAATGTTTGACCCTTCTTCAGCATGCCGCAAAATTAACTCTACAAGATCCCTTTTCTCTTTACATTGGTTCGTGGAGATCTGTCGTGCTCTCAAATATTCTTGAAGATCTCTTACTTTCAGCCTCTTCAAGTGATCCCTGTAGGCAATAGGATACTGCAGAGCTCTGCATTTCAAGCAATTTCTGATGTTCTCTCCTGGAACAAATTTTGTTTCTTTGGCAAAGCATTCACTGCAGTAATGTCTTTTGCAATTCCCACATAAATTCTGGAAGAAAAACATACAGAAAGACTACATCACAATACTTACTTTTGTTACCTACAATGCATCTGATACTGCGTTACCCATACCTTTTCTGTGTAATGTCTCATAACATTAAATATTATTACTAAAAATGACCAAAGGTCATTAAGTGCAGGCAAGGTTGATCAAGGTCAAAATGCTATTGCTTTAACGCTGTGCTTTCCATGCAATTTTCACTTAATAGAAGGTCAAATTGTGCATAATTAGGTTAAGAGAGTGTTAGAAGGTCCAACTGCGCAAGATCAGATAGTGTTCTATGCATTTTATTCAGCTACATACGTGCAGCATCTGTGTATAATAGCAACCTGGGCTAGGTTGTTCAAAGCTAGGTTAAGATAACCCAGGGTTAGCGCAAGATTTGAATTCGGATTTGAAAGCTTAAAAACCACTTCAGTTTTAATTCTTTCTGTCTACACATTGATGTTTGGAAGCTCTAAACATAACAGAGAAAATTATCCCAGAAAATACTTTTGAACACAAGAAAAAGAAACACGGATTAAATTTAACTCTGGGTTAAGCGCTAATCGACTTTCGAACAACTGGGCCCTGGAGGTTAGGATTGCTGATTCCTGTGGTCACCCACAATTAAATAATTTTTTATTTAGGCATGTGTATTTGGGGATGCAATGTGGCCAAGTGGTCAGTGCCTTAGATTGCAATCCTGGCAGTCCTGAGTTCAGATCCGGCAAAAAATTATTAATAGCAAGACAAAGGCCGTATTTATACTAGAGGACATCTTAAACACGTGGACAATTATAAAACATTTCACTGCTCTGGGTTATTTCCAGTACAGTAGAACCCCGGTAACTCCAACTCTGAAGGGAAACAAAAAACAGTTAGAGTTAGCAGGGATTCAAGTTATTGGGGTCCATTGCAAAATTCAATTTGCCATGTTAAAAAATCAATGGTTACTGATTTTTCAGCACTTCAGTGAATAGTGCAGTGCAACTTAACTTATTTCATCAGAAATGGCAACATGACTAGGCATTATTTATGATAAAATGTGATCGGTTCATTGCACCAATTAGAATCAAATTGTGTATTATAAGCCCATGTTAGTTTTAGTGTTTTTACCCCTACACAACAAGAAGAGCTAATGGGATGGCATCCAAGTGAAATTAAAGGAACCAGAATTTGAGTTATCAGGGCAAAATTCAGTGAATTTTTGATCATGGGAAAGGAGATTTAGTTCAAGTTAGCAGGGAATTCAAGTTTGAAATAACTGAGTAAAAATGATTGAAAAGAGGGTTGAAATCCAAGGGAAATTGGACTTAGTTTGATTTAGCGAGGAGTTAGCAATATTGGGGTCTTAATGTATATATACTGAGAATTTCCTCTAGTACAAAAACAGCCCATATCAAACATATGTTGTTATTTATCATTACTCACTTATTTATTTTTTGCACTGCAGTATTAGCCATACATTACTTTGCAAACACAAGAAAGAAACTTCAAAATTTTGATCAAGACAAAAAATTGCCACTGTTCCCTCTAATGCTGGGTACAAAATTTAAAAAAAAAATTGATACTAGGAAATGAATGAAAGTATGAAATTAATACACTTTTTTTCCTCCGCAAGGTTATGGTATTAAAAATAACATCACGTACACACCCAATATCAAGCTCAATAAAAGAAAAAAGATATAGAGCAAACTTCACTCTTTTGGACGCAAAACAGTGATATACAAAGATTAATTAAAATCGTTTGTTTGTTTGTGTTTAAATTAACTTCAGGACTGTTGTTCCTTGTTAGCTCAACTTTCTTTCCTCTCCAATCAAAGACAGATCAGTAAAGATAAGAACTCTAAACAAACAATTAGATTGGACTGTTACGTTGGATGACGAAACATTAAATAATTGACACGTTTGTGAACAATTTTACTCAAGCTTATTAATAAAGATATTTAAAAAATGAATTTAAGCCTCTGCATCTTGTGATTTAACTAGCACACCTAGAAGATTGTTATCAACTTATCATTTTTAACTGGACGCACAATAAGATTTAAAAAAAACATAAAAAAGGATAGAATTACTGTAGGATTTTTCCAACCAACATCTGCTTTGACAAGATGATATACGTCAAAGTGTATGAACTCTGTGGAATACTGCACTGTTCGTCTGTGAGAGATCATATGGGTCGTACCATCTCATTTTCTCACGAAAATAAGTCACCTTAAATTCCCCAAATCTTTAACTTAATGTTATTACCTTTCTCTTAAAGATCGTAAAGTTGGTGTTGCAGCTAAAACACGTCATCTCCTCGATATCATTGACCGGAAAATTACGACTACTTGTGGAAGGTTGACTCGTCCGGTTTGAAAAGGATTGTGTAAATGATGCACTTTGGCCGTTCGCTACATTAAAATGCGTCCTCAATATCGCGTCAACGTGCTCTGAATGTTCTCTTAGCTCCCCACTGACACCACCAGCGCCCATAACAGGCGCTAAAGAAAAGCTCAAAGACTGTTTTCCTCAATTTTATAACGCAGCAATTTTTAGGTTAAATGAAGCGAGAATCGTTTTAGGACAAATCACGCAAAGTGGGCTGGGACGAAGTGTCATGACGTCATGACATGAAAACGAGGCAGGAGCGTAGCGTGGCTTTGGCACTCTCCATTTCTTGTCGATCGATCACGTTTTTTATCAGTGTTTGACGAAGTTTACCTTCCAGTTTTGGCCTTATTAACAGGAACTCTAACAGTGGGAAGAATTTGCAATGGCTGATCAAGGCTGTAAGTATAGTTTGGTGTTACAAAAAGTGCTGTTTTTGAAAAAACCTCATTGAATCCTGGTTTGACAAGCGATTGCCAATCCTGTCGATTGTGAAATTCAGCTTTAAGCTTACAGTAAGCGTTTACAGCTTTTGATACTTACCTTAATTACTTTCTCAGCAAAAGCTTTATTTTTGTTTATAAGATAGAGGCACTTTCTTAAGCGACCTCTTTTTAAATAACCCGATGTAAGGTCTTACAAAGTGGAATTGAATTGAATGTGCATGCATGCATAGCGGATGATGGCCGTAGCTCAGGGTGGAAGACTTATCAAAGTAATAGGTTCTGCTCGTTTGTTACTGTATAGGTAAGATTTCGGATTATGGAGTCAAATTATCGGCTGGTGAGGCAAAGCAGCTCTCGTTGTTCCAATCCTCAGTATCTGATTATGTTTTCAGTGGAGTGTCCCCCGTTCCATATCTTTGGTCACAGTAGCGGGGGATGGGGAAGGGAAAGTAGGTGGGAGTTTACTCTGGATGCCAAGGCTGTGCTTTAAGGAAAATTGAAGAGAGCGCATTGCTCTGAAACTGTAAACTCCAGGGTGCCCAGCATATGATTATATTAAAAAATATATGATTTTCTAGTTGCCCAAGAGCAAAAGCTAGGCGCCATGGGCCACCAGGCTCTGCTAGAGCACAGTCCTGGATGCCCTTAACATAACACCCCTTATCAGGAAACTAGACACATACAAATAATTCAGCTGTGCTGCCAGCACATTTTGTTATTTGAATACTCTTCCAGAAGGAGCCATCTATTCTCTGTGAACTGACCAAAACCGGCTATTCAAATCCCCCCCCCCTCTAAGAAGAGAATTTGAGCTAAATGAACATGTATCCATTGTTCTTCAGTCAACAGTCAATCATATTACAAGTATGTACTGCACATAAGTTTCTTGAGGCAGGATATAGAGATGTGAAATTTGATCCACGGGGAACAACTTAACTTCCTTATGTCAAGCAGTGAAGGGAAACTTACCTTTCATATTATTGTTTAGGACATTTGGTTACATTGTTGAGAAAGAAATCTCTGATACTAGAATCTGAGCCAATGAAACTGAAGCATGGATGGCATACACATGCATTGTTGAGTGCCCATGGTTTTTGATGGTTTTCCCCACAGTATTTGTCGTTCGATATTATTAAAATCCTTGCAAAATGCCCTGGGTTAAAAAATCACAAAATCTAAGTATTTGAATAGTTTGCTTGTGTAAATAAGAGTTGGCCACTCCATGCTTAACTCATTTCATTTTGTTCAAAAATCTGGAAAATTAACCTTGTTCAGATAAAAAAAATCATATCCCAGCAGGTTTTTAGAGCAGCACAGAAAGCTATACCTCTTTTGAAAGGGCAGAAAATATACTTTCCAGAAAAAAGTGTTTCACTTTATAGCAACCCATAATGTATTTATATTTGTATTTGTTAAAATTATGCAATCATTAAAATTGAAAAAGCAATTTTTGCAATTACATGTAAGTAATGTTTGGCGTGGAGGAAAAGCTTAAAAGAGAAGTTTTTCATTGATGTCTGACCAAAACATTCTCCACATTTGCCATAGTGGGACACATAGAATTAATGCTGCTTTGTTTCTTGTCAGTGTGGGGTTCAAGAGGCAATGTTTTGGGTTGAAACATTTAAAAAAGTTGGGTAGAAAACTGTCATGAATTCTTAAATATCAGGGTCAAATGGAAATTGTCTGTTCCTGTGGCCAAACCTGAGTTTAATTTACACACACGTTCCATGGTACATTTTACCTTCAATCAATCACAGCCATTAATGTTTTTTGTTCCTTCAACTTGGTTAAAACAGTCGGGTGAAAATGTAGACCTACAACCTAGAAATCAATGAACTTTTGCAGTTCTCTTCCTTTTCATGCTGTGAGTGGTCCTGATCTGGTAAGCAAGGAAAATCTGTTTCAGAATCATTGGTCATTACAGAATGCTTTCTCGAAGGTATTAAGCTGTTGGAAAGCTTGAAATCTTCTTCATTCCTGTGGTGAATGTGCATGAAAAAATTCCAAGATGGCGGACCTATGGTGGCTCTCACCCAGGCCCCTACTTTATCGATGATATGCAAGTGACGGTGTACTGTAATTCCATTTCCAGCATAGAACGGGTTTTAGAAATCAGTCGTATGATACCTCAGCGACATGGATAGCAAGTCCTTTGGCTTATTTTCTGTAGCTTGAGTATTGAATTTTAATACTCAAGCTATAGAAATAACTTCACGTGAAGCCTTTAGAAAAAGAATTTCCCAAGTTATAGAGGTGGATAAAAATTATTTTGGTCCAGGGCTCGACTTTCAGAAAAAAATCTTGGGGCCAGCTGGCCTCTAAGTTTTCATTTTTGGTCGCCAGGACAAGTATTCTAGTCGCCAAAAATTATGTTCAAGAAAAAATAGCATACAATATACTTAAGGTCTTTTTAACCTCAACAAAATCGTCAATAAGTTACCTTCTACAAAACAGTTTACATAACCCCTACAATGGCACTTGTTATAAAATTCATTATGATTTTTACGTATTTATGTATTCCGTTACCCGTTAAACTAACGGATAGCTAACGGCTTTTCTGACGCTCTAACGGCTTGTCCCAACGCTCTAACGATTTGTTCTAACGGATTGGTCTTACGATCTAACGGTTGATTCTTAGCAGCTAACGGTTGGTCCGTGTAACGTTTGACTTTAACTTTACTTGTAAGAGAAAATCACCAGTGATGAATTCGATTCAACGGAAGTCTTTTTTAAGACTTCCGTCAAAATTAATCAGGCAAATCGATCGCAGTTCTCAACAGGTCCCTTGTTTGTCCGGGAATAAATTTTAGTGCATCGATTAACAATAATTCCGTTATGTCGAACATGTATCTAGATTGCGGACTCGATTGCAGATTAGTCTGATAAAAACTTAAGAGAACAAACGTCTATCTCGGGCTTCTTGTAAACTACTTTTTTATGCAAATTTATGTTGACATTTGAGCCCTTCGTGACAAAGCGTTCGGTGACGACCCAAGTGAGAGCTTTGCTGCATTTTATTGACTTCTAATAAAGTATCGTTGAAGTCAGACTTCTTGAACAGACTTCTCTCCAAATCAACTTTTGCCCGAAAATATTGACGATTTGTTTCTTCTTTGTGGAGGAGACTTTCGATCACGTGCTAGGCAACGAGATAGATCATGTTTCACCGATGTTCATTTCTGAACATCAATGCAAATTCTTGGTTTGCAACCACGTGACAAGACGGCCATGTTGGGGGTCAAAACAAAAGAATATTTCCTCGAAGAATTTACATGAAAATAGAGTTTAGTTCCCAGAGGACAGAAATGCTTTTGTTCTTGACCACCAACATGGCCGCTGTGACGTCACATGCAAACCAGCAATATAGAACGCAAAGCGAATGTTTGCAGATTTGTTCTTTCATAGCCCAAATGAGTTTTTTTCTAATACAAAGAATTTGTCTAACTGTAAGTGTATTTCATTTCCTGAACCTTGAATAACTGTTTGAGGAAATTACGCTTCAGTATTTACCTTAAGAGATTTTGGACGCCGCCCGCAGGTATGTGAGTTCTTCGACCGATGCTGTACGATGCGAACGGACATTAAAACGGGCAAAAATCTTGCGAAAGGAAGCCTTAAAACATCGGTTACAAGCTCTTACAGAATAATTTTTCTAAAGTGATGGTGTTACAGACCCACTAAAAGACAGTCTCCGTTGCCCGTTGGAACTTCTTCAACAGTGTATTTCAGTAGAAGGTCGACGGATACAACTAACGATCTAACGGATACGGATGAGTTGCTAGCCTAAAGACTGAATTGCCAAACGCCTCCAACGATTTTCATTGATCTGTCTAACGGATGACTAACGGATAGCTAACGGTCTAACCGTTTAACGGAATATCGTCAGTGTACGTTTTCCCAAAGAAGGTCACAAATATCATGGGGGCCAGCCTGGTGACCAGGCGTGAAAAGTTAGTCGCCACTAAATAAAATCAAGTCGCATTGGCGACCCCAGGGATCGCAACGTCGAGCCCTGTGGTCGCTATATTAATTGGTCTTGGGGCTAGTAAGACCACATTTTTACTAGCCCAGTGTGGAATTTCACTAGTCCTGGGCTGGTGGACTAGCGTAAGTGTCGAGCACTGGATGCCATCGGGTTATGCCAATTAGTTAAATACTCATTTGCATACCACAATTCTACTCTTAGCATGACTTGTATATTATGGAGCGATGCAACAAAAACTGTAATTTTAGTCACTTTTTCTTACAAATTTCAAACTCTGAGGTCAGGATTCATAATTTAAAGATATATTAATTCAGGGAAAAAAGCAAGTTTAACTGAAATGAATTTCATTGCATTTCAAAAACAAGTGGCTTGCAGCACTCTTTTTCAAAGTGAGACTATGATTTTCACCGATCATTTGCCTCAATTTTTGCAAGTGTTCAGTATTTGAGAAGCCAAATGGCATCCAAAACTATTTTAAAACGTACCAACTGTTCAAATTCATTGCCCAAAGCATTTCTTGATAGCCCAAAGCATCATAAATTTTTCCCGCATCACCAGCCATTTCTTTACTATTCTCAAAAAATTGCTGTGACAAGTATATCTACAGTTAGAGGCTGAAGCTAGCCAGGTAAAAGAAATTTGGTAACAATCAGAAGTAACACAAATCTATTAGAATTTTTTTCCATATCAATCTCTAGAGTTTGGTTTTTATAGGACCTGGGGGAAATGAGTTAAGGACAACACTTAATAAAGAGTGGATTTTTTTCTTATTTAGACGGGGGATATGCCCAAGGGGCTGGAACAACCATGTATGGTGGCAATACAGGAGCTGCAGGGTAAGTACTGTATGCTTTATGCAGCCTTATCAACCATTATTGACAGGTCATCCATGTATTTCGAAAACTGTTTTGCTTGTGAAGACTTGATAGTAGTATAGTTTTGCAAGGTCCTAAACTTAACAAGTTGGTCCTTACTCATGTATGTTTCTATGAACAGTTATGTTACACAGGGATATGAATCATACCCAGCTCAAACTAGCGCTTATCAGTCTACTGGATACCAAGCACCTGGCCAAGCAGCAACCCCTTCAGCTTATGGAGCAGCACCAGGATACCAGACCACACCCACCTCATACTCAGGGTATCAGGCTGACACCACAGCAACCAGCTATCCCACACCAACACCAACCACCCAGTACCAGGGTTACGGACAGCAGCCACAGAGTGGTGGATATTCACAGCCAAGTGCTGCCTCAAGCTACCAGCAGCCTCCTGCTTACCAGCAGAGTGGAGGCTATCAGCAGCCTGGTGGCCAGGGAGGTTATGGCAGCAGTCAAGGTGGTGGTGGTGGCTATCAAGCTGGTGGGTATCAGCAAAATAGTGGACATGGCATGAGTGGTGGTGGCTATGGACAACAAAGCTCTTATGGGCAGGGAGGTGGTGGAGGTTATGGAGGAGGAGGAAGAGGGTAGGTTTTAATTTTTTTATTCTGTCTGATATCTTGCTTAAGAAGAAACCATCCCCTACATCTCAAGATTTGGATAAAAAGTGGGTTTTAAAAAGGTTAAGGGTAACTCTGAGTTAAATGAGGTAAACAATGGTTGCTCTCATGTGTAAACGTTTTTGGTTTTAAAAACACATTAATGTATTGCAGTATTCTTGCTATGAAAATGTTTCTCAATGGATGAAGTAACCTGACCTTGGGGTCATTTCTTTTGCTTGTTTGTTGGTGGACTAAATACCCCCTTAAATTTAAGTATAAATGCCAAGTTAAAGTTCTTCCTGTTATCAATGGTAACACATTGAAATCAATGTAACAAATTTACTTTATTGGTTGGGTGTTGAATTTCTTTGTCTGGTTACTGACGATCCTCATGATTATGATCACAGGTGCCACTGCTCTACAGAGCAAATTGCAGACTAATATACTGTTATCAGATCCATTAAAGAATAGGCAAGAGTAATATTAATTACACTGTAGCTTTGCCCTCTTTTTCTGGGATGCCAGTTGTGTACATATGTAATGGGATGTCACAAGTTATGACAAATTTTATTTTTAATTTAGGCATTTTCAATTGATTTTACCAACCCTAAAAGCTATATGGCTGAAAGAAGTAAAATGAAAGAACGCTGTGAGGTTCCAAATTTAGTGAAGGGTTCTGTTACTAGGATCATGGCTTTTCCTTTGGCCTGCATTGTTCCAATATTATTTTGTGACCCTCACTGTTCAATAATTGAAAGAGCTGTCCCCTTTGATTTTAATGAATCAAACTCAAGATTTTGGCCTCAGTTTGTTATGGGACAAACAAGCTAAAAAATCACTTGGGGGGAGTTTACTTGTAATCAAGGATTTTATTAGAGGGTGTGTCTGATTGATTGTTTTTAAGAATCACTGGGAAAGGGGGAAAGCAAACAATCAAAGTCATTTGTCTGTGCAGTTATGTTGCACGTTAGAACACCTGTCACAAGGTCTTGTCCATACCATCAAGATGTTATTACCTTCCAGCTTTGAGTTAAAAAAGGATTACCTAAAGCACTGGGTTGACATTTATTATTTTATTGAGAAGAAGAGGTAAAGGTTATGACTGCTATGTAGTGACCGCCAGGGGGAAATATAAACTATTCTGACTGGTTTTACAGACACATCTGTAGTTCCTGATGTCAGTAGCCTAGCCAAAAAAGCTACCAATGCCTAAAAATACAAATCAGAATTTATTAGCACTATTTGCTGGATTAATCACTATCCAGTAGATAAGTGATGGGAAAACCAGTTGTGACATCCTCTGATTAGAGATTGATTTATTCAGTGAACAGTGTAGCCTCCCATGCAGGCATTTTTAGGGGAGCTCGTATTTCATCTCTTCCCAGAAATGCCTGCTCAAGCGAGAACAACATTCCTTTCCCGTTGTGTTATTCGCGTGGTACGTGATCAATCAGCAGTTTTGAAATAAAGTGTTGACAGGCTAAACACGACCCATAAGCTCGTGAAAGTGTAAAAATGTGACCCTAGAGTTACCCATCTTACTTCTTGTCTTTCCTTTGCTAAGGTTATGCAGTGCATGGAGTGTTCTAAAATCTGACCAAGTCTTACTTTTGCCGCTCTGAGTGTAACATTTATTAGAGGTTATAAAGCTTTCCCAGTGTTTCATGCAGATCGAGTAATTATCGGGCTACCCTGCGGTCAAGGTCAATTTTTCAGAATTTGGAAAGTACAATATACATTGGCTAAGCTTGGGAAAAGAATGTTGTTCTCAGTTGAGCAGGTGTTTGTGGGGACTGACGAAATACGAGCTCCCCTAAAAACACCTGCATGGGAGGCTATGAAAAGTGGGCTGCTATCCAGTTTTTTACCAACTGGGGCCTGTTCTTTGAAAGTGGGCTGAAAACTATGTTGAAGTCAAATCCTTGGCATTAGTTGTGTCACAGGTCAAAACCATTCATTTTGTTTCGTTTTGTGCTAGTTATAATTATTGTATTACTCTCAAAACTTCTGAAATGCAAATCATGAATGTAAACACAGCAACAATAACTGAGCTTGGGCCTGTTTCTCAAAAGGCCTGGTAACTTTTTGGGTCTGAAGGCAAATTTTGAAATCAAAACGTATTGAATAGTGGCATAGTTCCTAGCTCACAAACCAATTCTGCTTTGTTAACTAATAATTTCATTGCATCATTTTTAAAATTATTGAAAATTTTATCTTGAATTTAAACAAAACAGAACAGCATTTCGGGCCCAAAAAGCTATTAGGACTTTCGAGAAATGTGGACCTGCCTAGGTCTGGCAATTAACTGGTCTTTCAACAAACAGGCCAATGGTCTTAATAATTCACAAATAAAACTGTAAAAGCTCCCACCCATGTTTCGAAAAAAGTTTTATGGTCAGGGAAGACAGTTTCTAGGGAAATCATTGTGTTGGGGTAATGGGTTGGTTTCCCTTCTAAGGAGCAGCAGTAATATGGGTCCCAGTTAAGCTGTATTCAGCATTTTGTTGGGAAGAATTAGAACTTGTATCCAAGTGCGGATTTTTTAGCAGCTGAGGTAACTTGCCAGTTTTTGATGTACACCTACATGTAGGAAGGTTTCTGACTACCAAAATTGGAACTCTTAAATAACATTTCCCTGAAAATCTACAGTGTTATCCTAATATTATGGTAATAATATATTAATAACTTATTAAAAGCATACTGATAAATATTGTTATTACTTGGAGTGGACAGTCTCTAAACTATCTTGTTTTAAGGTACACATTTTTCTGCATGTTATTGATTATTGGTCGAGGCTAAGGATGATGTGAAGAATTATGTAGATCAAGGAGGGGGTTATATCCTCAACCCTCTTTGAGAATCTCTGTGATCCTCCATATCAAACAAAAGGCACAGGCACGTAATTAATTTACAATAATAACAATCACCGTTAATCTGTGTACTCCAAGTTTCCAAACTGGAACCCGTGTCTTTGTCTAGTAGCATCCCCTCATTAACCGATTTATTAAACTGTCTTATGATATGGAAAGTAGTCTAAACTGCTATGCTTCCAAAAACTTACAAAACTAAAATATTTTTGTGTATTTTTTCAAAACAAAAAGTGGAAGATTCCAGTCATATAAGAAATGAGAAGTCTTTCTTTTGGTTCCATTAGACATCACGTCTTCGATTCTTTTCCTAATGGAGAAAGGAAAAAAGCCTGTATCACATTTAGGTTTAGTGCAAGCAGTTCTGACCAATTTCCATACGAACGTAACTGTTAAATTAAACATTTTAAACATTTGTGAATATTGGTGTTTGCTACTAAACTGGTTGATTGAGGCAGTGTCCTCTTCTGAACAATGCATTGATTTGATTGGTACAATACACAGTGGTGGCAGAGGAGGTAGCCGACCGGGTGGATACAATAGTAATATGGGTTATGGTAAGTCATGTAACGCAGACACTGTCCTGCTCTCGTTTGTTACAATGCTGTCTGTGTGGTGTTATTCAATCACTCCGGCCGGTCGGCTATTAAGCTGGTACAATCATTGGTCAATATCAGTTTTTTTGTCATCTCCAAACTTGATGGGGCTATGTGATCTCTGACTGAATTAACTCAATTTAAAATCAAAGGTACTACATCCAAGGGAATGTTTTTCAAAATGTTGGGTTATCACTCTGGTAAAAGTATATTGGTATCATTCAAAGTGGTAAATCACCCTGGTTGCCTAAATGGCTCTAAGTAGAAGGGGGAGAAAATTGACCTTCTTGGGTTAAAATGACCTATGATCGACACTTGCATCTCTAGCATGGTCCGGAGTCCTTGTTTAGACACAATCTGTAAGATTGTTTGTGTTGTATATGCTTATATTCATGCTTATGTATTGTACTAAAGGTAGCATGTAGCTTAAGTAATGATACCGCTTTGTCATTATACAGTATTATGTGTAAATGGCATTGAATTGAAACTACCGTTATAAGGAAGTAAAAGGTCATTAAATTACCCTTAAAGAATGTTCCTTATATGGTGGTTATGATTGAAGTGCCATTTACTGAGTACTTGTATAATGTGGCCACGTTTAGTAATGGTAATGGTCGGGAAAAGATGATATGACTTGTTGGATTGCAAATGTGGTGTTTTACATGGTCCAGGTAACACAATGTATAATCATTGTAAAAATGTACTGATTTCTACTTAAACAGTCTGTAAAGTTTCCCCAAAGTTTCCCCATTGATCAAATTGGTGTTCATAAATGTAATAATAAATTATTACTAAAATTATACAGGTGTATTAGCAGGATATTTGGGTATCTCATGGCTACTATCATTATCTTACTACAACCAAATTGTACAAATTGTGCAACTTTTGCAATTAAGTCAATACAAGAATTTGTACTTTGCATTTTCTTTGACTTGCTCTTGGTAACTGGGTTTTCTCTTGTGCAAGGAATTTCCCCAATGTTTCTGTTTTGTACTAGTCCATTTAAGTTGTTTTGCATCCATGTTTTCTGTTCTGTATTTGGACACATTCTGTACAAAGGTCTATCAAATGTCTGGAGTAGAGGTAATCTTCTGTTTTAGTCATGTCCATTCACTTGTTTAATTGGCAAGACATATACTTGACACGAGTACAGGAAAATGGAGGTTTTATTTAAATGGACTAGCACTAATGTTTGTCTATAGAACTGAAAGAAAACCCTGTATTACGAAATCTGCTATTTTATGCATAGGCAATCTCTTTAAATGTTTTTACAACTGCGATTTGATAAGCCATGAAGAATTTTAAACAGTCAAAAGAGAAGTTCAACAGAATTTACTTACTGTTCTGTTGGTAGATCTTGGACATGTTTGTACTAACACAATATTATGTGGACCAAGTATAGTATGTTATTGGATTGTTTTGTACACTTTCCAAGCTATCACTGAGGGGTTACTTGCTTTTTTCCCTAGGTAATCCATATGGTGGAGGACAACAAGAAGGTATGGTGTGCTGAATGTGATTACCAGTACTTTATTAAAATGGTGTGCATAGTTCACTTAGAGTTTTACCTTAGCTCAGTGGTTTGACTATGTACAGTCGACTCTCTCTTAACGGACACCTCTATATGACAGACATCTCTGTAAAACAGACACTTTAAGCTGGTTGCTGCCTTTTTTACTTCCTTTACTTGACTCCCTATCAGACAGACATCTCTCTAAGATGGACATTTATTCTTGGTCTCAAAAGTGTCTGTCTTGGAGAGAATTGATTGTAACTTGTACAAGGTGTTCATTAGGCATCGGGGATCAGGGAATTCTCTGTTTACTACACAGTATTCTCTGACTAACGTTTGGTAGTTTATGACTATTTTTCATTCAGACGTGGAGCCTCTTTCAAAATATTCTCCTGTAAGGTTACACCTTTCTCCTGCTACTAGGATTCCTAATGAAAACCCTGCTTGTAACTTGCATTTGGGGAGGCCATAATTTGATTCAAGCCCATACTCAGTTAAGTGCCTCTGGACAGGGTTGTCATTAAGAGCTGGGGGGCCGGGGATTTCCCCCGGCTACTATGAATGTGGCCTTCGGCTACTTTCATTGGAAAATAGAAGAAAAGTAGAACCAAAAGAAATCCCTAGCTGTTTGATTCCCCGCCTACTTGTTACATTTACCTCGTAACTTGAAATCTTAGTGACATCCCTGCTCTGGATATGAATTTTTATCTTATTGATGGGATAGTCGGCATCACTGGCATAAAATAGAATCAATACAATTATTTTATTGATCCTGGGTGAATATTTCCTAAAGTGATCACCTCTTCGTACCCAATTTGTATTCATTATTAAGATTCCTGGAATATACTATTTTGCTTTACTATAGGAAAGGAATATGAGACAGATCAAGTCTTTATCTCCAACCTTGCTCCTTCTGTGACTGAAAACGACATCAAAGATCGTTTTGGATCCATTGGTATTATCAAGGTAATTAGATCCAAATTCCTATCGCACTGGGCATTTTGCAAACTTCAAAGGAATTTTTTGGCTTTTCTGTTCTGTGAATCATCTTAGCGGACCTCCTTGGAAACATGTCTTTACTTTTATCATGGTTCAAAAGGTCATGATTTGTGATTGATGGGTTTTGATGTGTTTTACTTGTTTCTGTGTTTCATTAGGTTATTGCTTTTGATCGTCCTGTTTTGGGAAATAATTGACAAGTTTCCTTGGAAGATTTGTCTGATATTCCTTATTTTTTACAGTCACTTGCAAGAATAAAGGAAATTGTCTGCCTCCTTCCCTCAACAAAAATTCCACTCACCATTACAATTATTTTCTTTTGCTTTTCACTGGTCTAAAGTCATTCACACTTTTGTTTTTGGGGGCCAAGCTGGGCAAGCACTTTGCATTCTGATTTGCATTAGTCTGACGCCACTCAAATGATTGAGGGAACAGGCAAACCCGAAATCCCTTTAAAGTTTGCAAAACACGCAGTGGGATACATTGAATTTCACTGTAAACCTGTTAGAAATAATTTCTATTGCATTCTTTAGAGAACTAAGGGTATTTGTTTCCTGCGAACCCCTAAAACTTCATGACTTTGTGATTTCTTTGAAAAAAGATCAGTACATTGCTTGCTTTAAGTTAATGTGGAAGCTGTAAAGCTTTTGTAAAGTAAGTTTGATCACTAACTCGTTGTTTTGTTGTTTAGATTGACAGAAAGACTGGAAACCCTAAAATTTGGATATACAGAAATCCTGATGGCACTCCCAAGGTAAAACAAAATAGTCCTCTACGAGGACATGACCTTACTGGCAATGAATAGTCTGTACAAAAAAAAGGGCAATGATGGGTACCTATGGTCTGAAGCATACATGTTTAACGCCATGTGCTACAAGGACAATTATTTTTCAAAGAGAAAATTTAAATTATTTAATGGTTTGTTTCACTGAGTATACCTTGTTTTTTCAACACATTTGTTATCTATTGCCAATATGTTTGCCATGCGCTATCTTTGGAAAAAGTATGTAACAAAACATTGTGACAAGTGACAACAGAGCAAATGTCCTTCAAAAACCACCTGCTTGCAAAACAAAATCGTTCTTCACAACAGTCGCGTTGTGTGGCGACCTCTAAATTGCACGTGCACTGTGGTAGGTAAGGTTAGTTCGGCAGCCACAGGCAAAGTTAAAACTTCTACAGATACGGTTCTGGGACTATCGTATTTTCTGGCCAAAATTAAAGCACGTAAATGTCGTAATGAAATTACCATACTTCAGATGAAATTTTAAAGATGCTATTTTTTGAATTTAGGCAGATTGGTGACCGATTTGTGATTTGGACTCACTTAACCCTTTATACCCTTGGATAGATGGATTATGATATTGAGCAAAATTCAATATTCATTTGATAATGCCCTTGATTCTGGTGACCACCCTGTTTCATAAAGCTTTGATACTACAAGGAGAAATGTGGTATTCATTAATTTTGGGGCCTTAAAAGGTTAACACAGGCTTCTTTGTGCTTGTTCTGCTAATAGCCCTAGCAAACGTGTTTATATTCAAAGTTTTATACATATTGCAGTGTTGGTCTGGCTTTTCCTGTTGTTGTGGGTTAGAAACTTATTCCTTGCTGTATAGCACTATAATTATTATTTACAACAATATTCATCATCCTTTATACCATCACATTAGTCATGACCTTTTTATCTATCTCCAAAGGTATTTCTGTACATTTTAGTGGTAGTTTGACTGTCTGTTGTAATCTTACACATGCAATTGTTGTTATTTGGATGTAGGGGGATGCCACAGTTACCTATGATGATCCACCCACAGCCCAGGCTGCCATTGATTGGTTTAATGGTAAGATAACATAATTATGTTCAACTATGTGCATAGTGGACAAAAAATCTAATTCTGGTTTAAAAACGGATCTTTTGAGGTCTCTGGGTAAGTGACCACCTACCACTCCCCTAAGTCACAATTTTGCCCAAAGTGAGAAGTAGGGGATTGTTGATGTTGACTTAGAGGAGGGGTAGGTGGTCACCTGCCCAAAACTTCAAATTATCCATAAAAACACCAATGTATTCTACTGTACTTCATTGTATTATTACAGTAGTTGAGACTCCACTGAAGATAAACTGAATATTATTAACAGATATCTATAAATTAAATTGTAAACATAGGACATTGTCAAAATGCTACTTGAAAGTTTGTGTTAAGTTTTCAAGTGTTCCGAAGTTTTCTTATGACTTAGCATGTGGTTTCCTTCCTTTACAGGTAAAGAGTTTCTTGGGAACCTAATCAAAGTTGAGTTTGCTGAGAAGAGAGTACCTAAAGGAGGCTTTCGAGGAGGTGGTGGACGAGGTACAGTTAGTTTAGTAAATGGTTACAATGGGATGTCTTAACTTCTAATATATGAGGTCATTCGACTTTTTTATTTACTTTATGCCTCTTGTACAAAGATTTTATCCATTTCGAACCTTTTTTGCTCACAAAATGTTTTATTTCAACAGTTTGTTGTCATTTTGTAAGCAGCCTGTGACTCTTATAACCCATTTTTTTTAAAATGAAGTTTAAATTTGTAGCAGAGGATAATAATTTCATCCATGGATTTAAAGTTAGAATGGCGAGTCATGCTACTTGGAGTGAAAGGGCTCAAAGTTTATTTTTGCACCAGTTTGGTCAGTGGTCAAGCAAGGTGCCAGACTTGTTGGTCGATGGTACCTGACCCTAATGATCGTAAATTAATCTCTTAAGTATCCTGCCTTATCTTTCCAGCCCTCTGTGGTTGTTATGGGCAATCTGTAGTCTTTCAGTACCTCACCAGGCCATGGCCTTGTGGGATTCCCACCAGAAAATTTGAGATGGCGCATAAAGAGCCAAGAAGATGCGCCCATCAGGGCGCAATGGCGTGCTACGAGTCAAATGGAGCATGCATTGTTATCGAATCGTAAACACCCCATCTGCCATTTTCGATCAGGTAGATACTTCACTCAACAGATCATTTGGAGTGCGGGCTCAGGTTATACCTTTTTCCCCCTTATGTTCTTACAGGGCCCCTATTTCTCAACAGAGGGGGCCCTGGGACTCCTCAAGGCAAAATCCTGGTGAGAACCCTGGTGTTTTTTTTTAATCACCTATTGATATTGTTGGGCACAAAATAATAAAGTTCTTTTGCTGTTGAATAATTCAACATGTAAAGCATAGTGTCAACTGTCTTCTCCTTGTAGGAGGTCCTAGAGGTGGTCGTGGTGGAGGCGGTGACAGAAGGGGTGGCCGAGATGATGGGCGGGGTGGCGGAGGAGGAGGTAACCAGGGCAAGATGGAGGCTCGTGCAGGAGATTGGGATTGCCCCTCGTGAGTTCTAGTTTATATGAAATAGAAAACTGCTGAAATATGAAGTGAAATGATTCAAAGTTCTAATACATTGCCTTGTGCTTTTCCAGGTGTGGAAACATGAACTTTGCCAGAAGAGATGCTTGCAACAAATGTCAAACACCCCGTGGTGATGGTAAATATTGCGTGAATAACATTTCACACTTTTTCCTTGTTTTTCTCTTTTTAGTGAACTGAAAATCAGAGCTCAGTAGACAAAGGTCTGGATAATGTGCTTTGTGTGAACTATATGTCACTGATTTACCAAAAAAATTGGCACTATTGAATTAAAAATAAATTAACAATGGCCAGAAACTTGAAATAGGAACTTAATGCCCTCTGACCTTAAATTCACGTAATCCTTTGCACTTATATCACAAGGAGAACAGAAAATTTTGCACATGATTGAGTCGTGAGAGTTATCCTAGTAAACAAAAATTCCAGATTGTTGTTTTGCTCTCCAGAGCTACCACTGCTTGATTAGACTGCAGAACAGTTGCCTTTGTGTCTCAAAATCGGTTTAGCGTCGCTTGAGAGTCTCTCTTGCAAATCACGTGAGCCTCACATGCTGATAGGGCATGGTGTGAGAAAAAGAGACATGTTCTAAGCATCTCTCCCCAGTCCTGCTCCAGACCTTTTGTTTGACTGCTCGCGCGTACTTGAATACTAAAAAAAACAGACTGTTTTGCAGTCTACTGCTTGATGTTAACTATCCATTATTGTTCCAGGTGGTGGTGACAGTTATGGAGGACGAAGTGGAGGAGGAAGAGGTTGGGGTGGTGGTAGAGGAGGTGGAGGTCGTGGTGGACCAAGAGGTGGTGGTAGGGGTGGACGCGGTGGTTTTGGAGGAGGGGGTCGGGGAGGTTATGACAGGTAAGATACTCTGTTCCTATCACTTTTGCATCCTTTTCTCATCTTTCTGTAGATTTTTACGTGTTGTACTCCTAACAACTGTCTGCCTAGCTTGCTAGTAATGCAAGGGTTTGAGAAAGCGGGAAGTTTCAAACAGTTTCTTTTTTATGACATTTCTTTTTCAAGACTTTTGCAAGTTTGAAACTTATGACACCTATAACATGCCTCTGCATGTAGGGCGCAGTTTTCTTACAAGACACAAAATGGCCCTCCACACAATTTCTTAGGTTGTTTTCAGTATATAAATGTAGCAATACTTCTCACATTCACCACGCATCTCCTTGGTACCGCTTGTAATACTGAACTTAACCAGCTGTGGATGTCAAAAGCATGCTGTCATTTTAAGAAAGCACCAATTTTTGTTCTTTTTTTTTTATAACAATGAGAATAGTGATCACTTTGTTGGAGCTTGACTCATGAAAACTCTACTATTTATGACAGAGTCCATTTGTGCATTGTCTTTTTCTCACAAACATGCAATACATTGTAATGTACTCTGAATCTTGACTCATATTCTTTCTATTCAGACAAGGCGCCAGGCAAGACCGAAGAGACAGACCATACTAATCAGCCACTTGGGTCTTCAGCTTTTGCATTTAAGTTCATTGTTAAATGAGAACAACAACAATAGCGCTTATTTTATTTTCACTAGTTAAAAAAATGATATTGCGTTTCATTAGTATATGTATTTGTAAGCTGTATAATTCAATAAAATGTTTTTGTGTCACAAACAGAATGCTTACTTGCATTCATCATTTTTTTACTGACCTGTATCAAGGAATAATGAAACTGTATTAAATTTGCATTCCATACTTGCAAGGATAGAACAAAAGTTCAAAAACTAAGTTTATCAGATTAAATAAATTTACCTTAAGAATTGCATTCAACTATCTTGTTCATCAAAAGTAAATTGCAGTCAAACCGGGAAACTGTGAACACCAGAAATATTTCTGGAATGTTATTGTCAATCGGGTGAGAGAAAACTAAACCGCAAGCAATTAGTTTGTGCTTTTGTGGCTAGTTAGGCTGTCCTAATCTTTGCTGTGATTTGTCTATCCTTGGCAGCGGCGGATCCAGGATTATTTCAAAGACGGGGTTGTAAGTATGAGAGTTCAAGGCAAACGTCCCTGGGCCAAGAAATGGGGGAGGGGGAGTTCGGGGGTAATGTTTGAATACATAGATTTTCGGCATTTTGATTGAAGAGGTATAAATTTGTCTAATTTGAGACACTATTATTAAGGACTAAGAGTACAGTGCAAAAACGATAGTTGTTTGTCAAACAGACTAGCTTGAAAGAGCCTTCTTGGATGAGCCTTTACAAAGACTTGCTGCCATATCTCGTCTTCCTCGAATCTCTTAGAGTAGTACTGGCGATCTACTGGGAGATCAGAGAATCGCTCTTCAGGCGTTGTTGACCTAGAGCAGTTCTTGATTCATTTCATCCATCATCAGTGAAACCGACGGCTCAGTTTCTGCGTTTGTGATCGGTAGGGTGTAGGCAATGACCAGAAGGCGACAGATATTTGGAAAAGCATCTTCATCGCAAACACCAGGTGCTAATATAAGGTTGTTTGGAAGCTCCCTATCTGTTGACTGCCAGAGTGTTTTCCATCTACTTAGTACCTAATTTCCAAAGGATTTGAGAAATGGAATATCTTTCTCCCAGAACAGCATGCCTTCTACTTCATCATCCTGCTGCAGTGCCTTATTTACTATAATCGATGGCACGACATAGAGCAGATGGCTGTCGTGGTGATGTTCGTCAGAAAATCGACCTTGCATTTGGATGATTAAGGAATCAAGAAAAGGAATAGCTACAGTCTTCTTGTAACGATCGATTGGACTGGAACTAACATTATAACAAATAATATTATTTTGGGCATGAAAAAGGGATAGCCAGACAAGTTTGAAAACTTCCCAAAGGGGGGGTTGCAACCCCCTCAACCCTCCCCCTGGATCCGCCTCTGCTTGGAGACCCAGGGGCGACAAGTCACATCGGGATAAACAGCAGCAAAAGTTTTCAAGAATGAGCAAGGGAGCCCCAGGGACTGTTCTCTGTACCTTTCTAGCTCCTGCTGGAGGGCTTTCTTCGAGAAGAGTTTTCAGTGAAAATGGGGCCCACAAAATCCCATAATTTAGCATGTTAACAAAACGAAGGGTAAGTTTTCTGTATAACCCCATACATTTATCATGCATGCATGTTTTAACTCTATTCATATAAAATATTTGTGAGAAAAGGAATGAAATTGTTGCATGATTTCCATTAATCCCCTATAATTATTATATGGAATTATAATGGAAATCTTGCCAAATGGAAAATGCACCAACCGAAGAAATCAGACTGGACTGAACGAAGGAAAGTTCTTAAATACCATAGTACTTCTAGGCTTGTCAATGCAACTCTGCAAGTCTTATACTCTATCAGTTTCTTTCTACCCTTTTGTGTCACTGAGAAGAAATAATTATTCAGCAACAAATGTACAAACTTTACAGGGCGAAGAATTTTCTCCTGCACATGCATGATAAGTGTGCTGACCAGGCGTAAGTAACCACGCACTTGATTTGGCGCAACGTTTTATTGTTTTTAATTATGTAAAGTTCTATTAAGAGAAAATTGTTTTGTCTGTGTCCGGCTTCAAAAACTTTCCTACACAAACCAGACAGGTACGCTGAACAGTCGAGTTTGCAGGTAAACTCCTCCTGGAGTTTGGGTGGTTTGCATTGGGTGTGAGAGGGCAATGGCAAAGTGATGTGGCCGAGTTTAGTCAACAAATTTTGTGTTATCGATTTTGAGCATATTCTAACAGTGTTGAGAAATACCTACAAATTATTTTTATAGATCTCTGTTTCTATTGGTTGCTTATTTAAAAGAATAGTAAAGGAAGTGAAGAAAGTAAATGAATATTAATAAGCAGTCACCCTCTTCAACAGGCCAATAGCTCAATGTGGTTGGCTTGTTTGCAAAGAATAATATTATGAGGTGTCCTTAAAAACTGCTTTACCCATAGTATTAACAATGCACCAAAAAGACACGATACTGAAAGTGGGCATGTAATATACAGTAAAAGCTTGGTAAAAAGTTCCTGTTTGCATTACTGGGAATGTGCATCAGCACACAGGAGGGTTGCATTACATTGCATTACTGGGAATATGCAATTGGCAGAGGGTGTAATAAAAAAGCTAACAAATGTTTTACTTTTGTTTTGTTTCCCGTGAAAATAGCCAGGATCATGCTCATAGAAGCTGTCAAGGGAAAATCCCTGGCCCTCAGTCACAGCCCTGTAATTTATGACAAATAATGGTTAAAAGAATTTTTTCCACAAATTAATTTGTCACAGCAAAATATTTTGAAAATTAATAGAGAATCAAAGACTACATGCATGATGGTAGTGATTATTAGTCTTTACTACATTGTTCTTTCATGTAAATACATATATTATATACAAAACTACCACTGATAAAAGGGCATAGTTCACAGAATCTACTCACTCAAAGGGCCCCACCACAAAACAACACCTGTTAGCCTGCATAGCTGGTGGGATTCTTGTGCCTGGGGTACTTTCCCGGGCGGTAGAATCGCCATGCAAAGTGACTTGTACCCACTCTTCTCGCGGCTCCATAATAATTTGCCAAAACAGCACTCCCATGCTAATCCCACCAGTTATGCAGGCTAATCATCTGTTAACAGTCTTCATATTGTATCCTTAACATGTGAGTAGTATACAAACAGTATTCATGATTAGTAACCTTTGTGCCCTATATTTTACGGGGGTGGGGGTGGGAGGGAGGCATAGACCTAAGTAACCTTGAAAACACAACGTTTGAGCCAAACAAAGAAACCAGCATTTGATCAAATTTTGACCCTTTTCATTTCAGTGTGAAATGATCCTTTTGTTGGAATATGTTCCAAGGACTTAAGCCAACTGAAAGTGGGAAAAAATAGACTGTATTTTTCTCTGAAACGTCCCTGTAGACAATAGAGACCTTTTGATTTTGAGTATCAATACTAACAGTAGATCAAGTATGGGTGTGACTTTAAAATTTCAAGCAAGTCACATCCTCAGTATTCTCATGCTTTCAGGTTGCACACCAGCAAATAGAAGAGATATTGATTGAGGGAGATTGTGTGACATTGATAATCTTAAGCATTCAAACTTAATTGTGCTTGCATTCCACTATAAAGACTCCTAACACCTTTTATTATCATAACAGGCCTCAATGATACCGTACATTTAGGTGGCGATGTGCAATGGAGAGTAAGAAAAACAATTATAGAAGGATTGTAATCAATCCTGCTAATCAAACAGGGAGTTGGGGCTAGTTGAAATGACTTGTGGGCTAGTACATACTAGCTACAGCTTGCCCAAATGGCAGGCTGTAAAACTGACTTTCTTTGCACCCTGGGGCCTGATAATGTTCACAGAAAACAAAAGAATTTCCCAACTGCTTGATTTCCTGCCCACTAAATGTATTATCAGCAACGTGACATCTTAGTGACAGCCCAGCAATGAACAACAAAGTCATAACCTCTTATACAACTGAACCTCTCATAAGCAAACTCCCAAAAAACCAAGATCTAGGAGCTGCTTACTGCATGAGGTCTCTTCCTTGAATAGACTGCAATTTCAAAATAAAAACATGACTGGCCCTTGCATGGCTTTGGCTTGTCTAATACATAGAGTGAAGTTGGTATATTGTACTGTCCTATTTAAGGAAAGGAAAAAACTCGGTATGCTCTTATCAGTGATTGTATTGGTGTTGCATTCTACCAGTTAACACTGGTAGGGGAGTAAGGTTGTTGTCTCAACTGGCCACTTTTGGGAGGTTTAAAACTTAAATGTGAAAACCTAAACACCAAAAAGAGAGTGCAGTCACTGGACATTTGCCTGCAGGAAATTATTACAAGAAGTTTGACTCCAGGATTATTATTTTACACCCTGGAGAGACAAAATACTACTACATGCTATTTACTATCTTACAAGGAAAAAATATCTTCTCATGCTTGTTATGTATTACTGGTTTGAGATAATGCAGGTGATGAACTAGGATGATGATTGCTGTTGCTTGATGTGCTCTTCTTCTTGAGGTGAAATTTTCCCTTGATAAGTGAGGATATGTATATGCGGACTTTGGTGTTGTCAGTTTTCTTGATCCAGATCTAGTGAGTTAAAACATTAAACTTGTTAAATAGGTGAAATTGCTCTAATTTCACTAAAACATAAGGCAAGGTTTAAACAAAAGAACGATTCAGCTTATAACACTTCTCTTATTTGAATTCACCCCCCCCCCCCCCCCCCCCAAAATGAAATTTTGGTGTGTTAGTTTTCTTGTTGCAGAGTAAGGGGGTTAAAAAATGTAACTTGTTAAAAAGGGTAAATTTCGCTAATTTCACAAAAAAAAAAGGGAAAGTTTAAAAAAAAAAACGATTCCCCTTTTAACAATTTTCTTATTTGAATTCCCCCCCCCCCCCCCCCCCCCCCCAAAATGAAGAAGGTAATTCACTACCCCAGTTGCAAAAAGACCCACTAGCCTCAGGCTATCGGACATGACTTTCCTTGCACACTCCAAACATAACTCATTTGCAAATTCTGCACAGGACTGTTAAAAAAATGCCTCACCTCTGACTGACCAATGGAATGAAGGACACCACTGAAAAAGAAGAATACTTTACTTAAGGTGTGGCTTATATATAGAAAAAATACCAACACGAGCTATTGGGCACCTCTGCCCATGTTAATCAAAATACTTAAAAATAAGAGCAGTATGTAATCACTGCATTTTCTCTAAATCAATACAGTCCCAATATTCACCTGTATCTCCCATTTTCTCTTGTCTCCACAACTACTCCAGTTCCTTTGTGAAACCTGGTGAGAAAAAAGTAATAATAGTGATTCTAAACATGTTGTACCAGCTAGAGAGACAATAAAATTTGATGATTATGTTTTTCTTGAGAATATGAACTTGCCATTTTTTGTCATAAAACAGCTTCCCATCTTCAGATCTGACTTCAATTGGGTACGAGATCTCTGAATGAGAACCATTCCCTAGAAAGATTTACAAGTACGTACTATGTAACCATTTCAAAGGATCAAATTAGTGCAACCTAAGCTATTTAGTAATCAATCGGCTGTTGACAAATGAAATAGTAAGAAATCATACCTGATTTGATTCGGTTATTCCCAGTTTTACTCTCTGATCGAGACTGAGATGAGGATATCTACCAAAAAAACAACTTTGTGACTTTAGAGTCAGAGATTACCATTGAGGTGTCATCACTAGATTAAAAACGTTTTAACACTACACAGGCCTTTACAGCTAGCCTTTGTTAACACATTCACACAACAGAAACCCTTACGTAAATACCTAGCAAAAAGGGGGAAAAAAGGGAAAGAAAAGCTAACCAAGTGGGGAGGAGAGATAGTGAAAGGTTTAAGTAAAAGGGACAGAGTCACTTTCTAATTTGTCTTCCAAAATGCCCAAACTTTTCCAAGTTGAATGGAGGCATCAGGGACATAAGCTAAAATATTGCTCAAATTAGTCAGATGGTGATCAGAAAATGGTGCAACTAGCTTCAAACTGGGTTGTTGGCTACACGCAAATGGGTTAAGGTAGTCTAATAGCTATGGTTATGAAGTGAGCTACAGTTTGAAACACACATTGTTCTAAGTGCCGCCAAAGGGTACCTGGCGGTTGAGTGTAGAGAGAGCTCACATACCTCACCAGGGAGGGAAACAAGTTTGTTGAGTGCCTTTAAGTCCTCCATGATGTCTTCTTCATCAAGCATGTAATTTATCTGGGGTGGAATCAGTTAAGGCCATTTAATATCAAAAACAAAGCAATAATTTTATTTTGCTTTGAACACAATACTTTGTCTAGTTTTGTGATGATTGAAAAGGATATGAGAGGTTTTTCTCCTTTTCTCCGGAGCAGGAAGGGGATCATTTGGCCTTCTTCTCAGCTTTCGTGTAACAGCAGGTTTCACTTCTACTGAGTCTACAACAAAGAATTTGAATATATCAGTTTAAAACCACACTACTGAATCCTGTTTTGGCCATATGGCCGAATTATAAAAATAGTCAGGTAATAATATTGATGTTACAGTCAACTCTCTCATGGTGACCACTTCTTGTAAGGGACCACCTCCTACAAGCCACCACTTGTAAATAACTGTTCAGTCAAAGTGCTTTTTTAAAAACTCTCTTGTAATAGACCACATCTATTTTCTCACACAGTCTCGACCACTTTTTAGGCCAGACATTTGACATATTCTTTTGTTTTCTGTTTCTTGTAAGCGACCACTCATCATGATCGAACGTATGATTGTAAGAGAAACATTCTTAAGATCTTTTCCTGTATGTAGGTAAAAAAGTGTATTGTTATGTTGATCCAATATGATATGTACAAAGTTTCAACAATAATTCTAAGTGCTATTTGATGAGAAACATTATTGCTAGTAGTCTATAACCCTAATTTCAGCTTGTAAGGTAACAACTTTATGTAATTACGTTACTCAGTTCACTTTGAGCATATTTTCTTGATTTTTCCTGTACACAACCACCTCCTGTGAAGGACTACTTTGTCATGTGCCAAGGGTAGTCACTTACAATAGAGTTGACTGTATTATATGGCTGGCCCTGGCAGCTGGCAAGATGGGACAATCTGAACAAAAATATACTTTGATACTAACCTCCAGTAAGCTCCATTGATATCCTTTCAGACTCTATCACCTTTTTCTTCTCTTGCAGTTCATTCAGGAGAGTTTCCTTCAGTTCAACTTTCTTTTGCTATAGAAATCAGAAGGAAACAACTGTTCAATTGTCAAACCTTGACATAAATTTTCGCAAGCAAAATTAATCCACAGGTCTGTCGTCAAATGGCGCGAGTATCACCGAAATAAAAGAATTGCATTAACTCTGATCTGCTAGTACGCAAGACTCACGCAAAGCTCTAAACCGGTCAAGAACAGGAAAAAACCTGTTTTTTAATTTATTGGTCCAGATTTCAGGACAGATTTGAACGGTTGTCAGCAGAGGCTACTTTTTGCACAAAAGCTCACACAGCGAATATGTAGCCTCTGCTCACAGGGTAGAGCTAAGGAAAATAACTGAAACAAATCATTTAAATTACCCCGTAGGAGCTGAAAATCCCAACTGGCTGCAAGTGAAACAGTTGATTATTTATAAGCATGACCAGCAAGTATAAGGAATTACTGATCACTAGACAATCCAAGCTAGCAACAGAGCAGTTCTTGAAACCCAAACTTTCAGAATGGTAACTTTACTGCCTTCAAGTAAGTTGAACCCCTTTACCAGCTAATATGCTTTACTTTGATGTTTTACTGTGAAGGAAAAAGATTAACTGACCTCATATTCCTGCTGTGCTGCCTTTTGTTCTCGAACATATTCTTTCTCGATCAGCTCAATCTAGGGTAAAAGTCAAATATAAAACATTACAAAATTTGAAATATCTAATACACTGAAGGCATAATTTTGTTTGCAATTAGTGGTAAATAACTTCCATGTGTACAAAACACAGTACTGCCACGCCATTACCCCCCACCAATACCACCCATTATCAAAGTACCATATTAAATCACTAAAACATACAATGTAGTCATAACCATATAATAAAGATGCCTCTGTTCAAATACTAACCTCATACTTTCGGCATATTTCTGCAAATGAAAACAGAATAGTCAGATTAATCCACCACAAGTAGCTTTGCTTCCACGTTTCAATTAATTTGGTTCAATTTGTGCATACCTTTCCCAGGGTGCCCTTAGTGAGTTATAATATTGTAAAATCAGAATCCAGAACGCTTTAAATTGTGCATTTTTGATTGAAGAGCAAAGACGATTGCAGTACGTTTGCCATTTTGTGTTTCCTGGAAAAATGCTGTCCTTCAGCCACCCATTGAGAATTTCCAAATAAGGCAAACCATGTGTGACATGCTCTTTGTCAGGTTCTCAAACATGGCAGTGAACGACCAAGCAACTGTGAATCCTCCTGTCCCTGTTACTATTCTCAAATTAAAGGTTAAGGGTTGCATGTTGTTTACATTACGCATTTTGTTATAAGAATTAAGAAACATTTACAAAATAGAATCGCAAGGAATATGAATTGTTACACCCCTATTCATGGTTAAGTTAAACAGCTGCAGGTCTTTATCAAAACACTTTGTTTATGCATGATGGGGGGATCACCTTTTCTCTCACCCTTACCCAACAACAATGCATTTGTCAATGAATGGATTAGCCTGAATTAATTGGATGAAATTCAGGCTATGAATGGATGGCCTTTGTTTTAATACATAATAACTTAAGCCATAACTTATGCATGTGGAATGGGCAAAAGGATACCCCTACTCATTTGTAGCTAACATCACACAATCCAAGAATCAGATTGCTTGTGAGTGCGGCAAAGTATACATTGGCAAACGGGAAGGTACATGCATGAACAGATTAAGGGGCACAATAGGGATACCATAAATTACCTAATAAATGCCTGGGGTGTCTATTTAATTTTAGAGGTCCAAGAGGGGCATTTAATTGATAGCAGGCATTTAAAGAGAAGGGGAGTATATTTTCATAACTGTAACAAGCTCAACCAAACCAATAAACTTTCAGCAAAAATATCAAGTGAGTTTAAAAATAGCGGAAAATTCACTCCATCAACTGATATCTCTCCGCTGTCTAGAGATCCATATCTCTCTTTGTAATTGCCACATTGCCGTCAGAATCCTCGTTCAGGGTTATTGTTGTTGCCATCGTTAGTCTATCCTTACTTTCAACTCGACATTGCACAAGATGAACTTCTCAAAGCCTTTTTAATCAAGCAAGAAACAGAATGAATTGAAAGATTTTGCTTATTCCTAGTATTTTGGAATAATTCACATAGACAGGCGGCATTTATTTGGAAGTGGGCATTTATTAGGTCATTTACATTAAATGGCCTTCAAGAACTCAAACTTCAGCCATTTCTGAAAATGTCAATAAGACCGCGCATTATCCGTTCTGGGACGAGGTTAAGTTTATTGACCAAGATTCTCACTGGTATTCTCGTAGAGTTAAAGAGGCTATTCACATAAGACTTCACCCTAACAACATCAACAGGGACAGTGGAATTGAGATTCCTGACGCATGGATGCTGACGATCAGACGGCATAGCATCCAATCATTACCACAACGGACCACTGAGGGAATAGTTTCCTCTTCTAATAAAGCCAACAATGCTTTGGATCGAAACCCACCAACAATCATACATCAATCACTAACAAACATGGTGGTACAATAGTTCTACTCAGTAAATCGACACTATGGCCTGATGAAGACCTGCAGTACACGGTCGAAACATGGTGATCAATGTCTATGTCACAATCGTGACACAAACAATTAACGAAACCCTTTATACACATCATCCACCAAGAACAATATCTTTCATGACAATGATGACCTTTTAACATATTATTAGCTATGACTTGCGCTTGTGGGATGGGGATGGTGAATTTAAAAAGTGACTTAATAATAATCTTTCACTAAGATGGAAAACCTTTTTATCAACAACCGCTAAAAAAGTCTCACTAGTTTTACCAGTACTCTTAAAAGGAAATTTTTCATTCCAAGCACACCAGGTTACCTGGTATACAAGGAAGTCAAGCTACATATACTTTACCTGCAATGAGAAGTCTCTCACTTCTTAACATGTCCAGTTTATTCATCCTTTTAGTGTACTCAGGATGCTTTCCTAATTTACAACAAAAAAGAAATCAATAATTTGACAAAACAGGGTTTCACCAGGGTTGTGCTCTAACTCTACCCAGTGGCCCCTGGCACCTTACTTTGGCTCTTGGCTGATAAGGAGGTCTTAGTCACTTTCATAAAAATCATCAGCTAGGCACCCTGAATTTTACAGAGAACAGCATTGTTCCACTGAGAACATTAGGGAGCTTAAGCAACAATGACAGTGATGGCTACGAAAACGTCACGTAAAAAGTGAAGTCACGATGCTTTTAACTTTATTGTGCTCATTCCATCTCATTTAATTCGTCAAGTTGGCAATTATTTCTGGAGTTGAATTCTAAAACATGTAAATTCAAAGGTCAAGAAAAGACAGAGAAAGTCGTCTTGTGTTCATGTCCTCCGCAAAACGTGAAATTAGGCTTTTTCACAATGTAGTCGTACAGTGACAACAAAGAAATGTACAAAAAAGCGTGATGCACGTGCATAGATGTTGTTTTGCTAATCTTGACCTACTGCTTTCTTGCCGTTCTCCTTGATGTCGCCATCGTTGTTTCTTAAGCTCCCTATTAGCAGCTACAAAGGAAACTCAATATAATTAATCTCTATATAACAAGATATAAAGAAAGATATTCTTCTTTGTCCCAGTAACAGTAAAATATGTTAAAAAGAACCTTGATATGATGAAGCCTTGTTATAGCAAACATATTTTGCCAGTCCTTTGGCCATTCATCATATCAAGGTTCCACTGTATAATGCAATAATCCGTCTATGTTTAAAAAAGAGTTGACCTTTGAGATCTCAGTGCAGGATTAGCTTAAATAACAAAGACAAAAAGCAATGATCACCAAGTGTACACACATGTGCACTTAAGGCAGTGATAACTGAAGACATTGGCTCAAGATAAATCTTGAAAAACTTTGCCTAAATTTTGCCTACTTTAAACTTGGTGAAGTGAACATCCATTTCCCTCTTAAAAGTACCTACCACCAATCAAATTCTGTAACTGTTGTTTATAGTCCTGCAGCTTGTCTTGATACATCCTAAGGGAAGTTCAAAATGAGGAAACATTATTATTAAACAACTGAGTCAAAATGAGCCTGCAGCCAGAAGCTGATAATTAACCCTAAACTAAACTGCACCTTGATTTTCTTCAGTGCTATGAGTACTCTAAGAATGAATTAACATTCTGCTATATGTATCACTGACTGTTAGGTGGGTAATAGCACCTCTTTCTTCACTGCTACCTAACCTTAGCTACAGGTATAAGTATGAAAAGTGGGAAGATCAACAAGCTGACCTAATCATGGAAAACTGGACACATTAATAGACATGGTGCCACTTACTGCTCTTTCATTTCTGTAAACTCTTCTTCAAGCTTGGCCATATCAGTCTCACTTGCATCCTCAGTATCTAACAATTGATATGAAATAGTATTACAAATCAATTTTCCTTTGAAGCCTAGGCCATTCACTTATGTGTGATCACTTATGTAGTTAAAAAGAAAAAAAAACACTGTTTTAGAGGTATAATATCACAGAGATGTCACTAAGATTTCAATTTGCTGGGTAAATACATCACGTAGGTGATGTATACAGCTAGGAATTTTTTTTTGGTTCTATTTTTGTTCCATTTTCCAATGAAAAAAGGGTCATGTCATAGAAGCTGGGAGAAAGTTCCGGCCCTCAGCCTTTAATGACAGCCCTAACATATAACATATGCATTAGAACATTATTTACGACATGACCTGTCACAATTATGTCCCAGCATTCCCTGTTTGATTGTCAAAGGACAACCAACAACCTTTTACATTCTGCACTATTGATCCAACACTTTAATATAATAAAATCAAACAACCCTTCCTATGACAAAAGAGAGGGAAAAGACCAACAGTGATTGTTACACAAGAAAAATACATTGATACACCCACCTTTCCAGTGTGTCCACCAACATAATCTGCACGATGTACATTTTGAACCTATCCTAAGAGCTACCTTTCTACAAATAATGGCCATTTTTTTCTTCCAGCAGATACATTTACTCTTGTTTGACCCCTTTAAAATGGCAAAATCTCTACAACAAACCCTCAACTTTGTCCCCAAGAGAGGTTGTGGAAAGGTTTGATTTTATTTGAGGTGGCAAATTGAGCTTAAATGTTATGCCACATTTATTTTCTCTCAAACTGCATTTCCTAGCACGTGAAATTCAAAGAATCTGAGAGTGTCACACACTATGACCAAAAATGCTAAAAAAAAAATGCACACAGGCTGGTCAATGTTAAATTAAATAATAATACCCCATCTAACCACCTCAAGTTCTGAAAGGGTAGGGGACCTACAATGTTATTAAAGAAGGTCATGACATGTGTTGGCGTTTAAAAAAGTTCTCCACAATTTTCATCGTCCGTGATCAGCATCTCTGCATTAATAAAGTCTGCACATTATACAGGGCACAAAGAATGCAGATCTCACAAAAGTGCAAAAATGTAGTCCCATTAAAAACTTTGACGTTCAACTATAACGTATCGACAACTGCTTATGCTAAGAGAATAGACACGAACTCTCGACAGGATGCCTGAGTAAAAAAACTGAGCAGATTTTGTAAATGTACAATGTAAACACAACCTGGATTGACCAGTTGCATGTCAAAATATGAGGGACGATAAGACACCTCATAAAAAGATAAGCCGCTTTTTCCTCACATTAAAATACTAACTGTACCTTCATCTGATTCATTCATCTGAAAAAATCCTCTATCTTCATCGTCGTCGTAAATATCCGACCGATTATCATCAAAACTCGCCTCTCGGTTGAACATTGCCGCCATTTTTTTCAGCCTCCCCGATGACCTCTGTGCGCATGCTTGACTCGACAACACGCTGTCCTCAGAAGAATCACTCCGGGGGCTCACACTTCTTCCAGACTGAAAAAAAAGTTTTAGCTTGAGTCTGGAAGTTTTACACAATTCTTATTTTAAAATTCCAAAGATCCTAATTTTTTTTCATCAAAAATATTGGTCACGCAGCTTTTTAGGTTACTCTCTTGAACAACAGGTACCCGCTAATTTTTTTCTGGCGGCCGGATTTTACCGTTCCCATCTTTGACACGCCAGCACTCTGTGCGTACAGTTTAAAAGCACATAGACACAGCTGATTCTTTCTACTGAAAAATCATTTCACCCAAATTGTAAGACTCCTCGAATGATTTCTGTTATAGGCCCAGCGCCCTCTTGACAATAGCCTCAAACTAAAGAGAAGAATGGATCTGAGCTCAAAACTATAAAACAGGAGGCTTTGAAAAGTAAAATAATATTTTGAAAGGGAAGGTCTCCACGCACAACCTTTCATATTAAAGGACAAGACTGTCCTGTAGTTAGTCGACTGGCTTCTTCCAAGCAAATAGGGCAAAACTTCGGAAAATGACTAAACCGCTTGAACGGCGAAGACATTCGAACAAGAAAAATATATATCTAGATGAAAAGAAACCGTGATGGAAAATAACATACTTTAAATGTTGCAGTATTTTTCTCGAAGCTACAAGTTTAAACGAATCGAGAGACAAGAGCTCGACGCCAAAACTTTTTAACCTATATCCTCAAAGATTTCTCGGGCGTATGCCTTAGAATATTATAAATACTGCCCAGAAGTTTTAAGACTCAGATTAAAACTTTTAGAAAATCCTGCAAGAAAAAGAATTTTAGTTCAGGATAAAGTCGAGCAAGACTAATCGAACAAGCGTCAGGTATAACCCGGTCAATAGAGAAACTAACAGAGAATATGTAAGAGCAAATCTCGTAGAATTTCGAGGAAAATTGCGTGCGATTAAATAAAAACAAATCGATTTTTTTCAAGTAAATTTAACCAAATTCAAACCTTCTTTCTCTTGTTACGAAGATTGCTCTTTCCTTTGACAGAAGCCGTTCCACTCGGTCTTCTTCGTTTTGCTATGCCCATCTTCTTGTGAGATTTCGTCCCTTCGACTCCCTTCAGCTTCGGCATCTTGCTATCATTGGTTAGAACAAAAGGACTTGTGTTTCAGATATTCAAGTATAGACAGAAAAGTTGCCGCAAGAATGAATTCAAGAGCTGAGCTCTGTTGAACTGACTGGTCTTGCTCGCGAGGGAGGTTTGTTGATTGCATTTCCTGTAGCTATTTTTAGCCTGAAAATCGCTGATTGGCTTATTTTTCATATTTTAGTTCCGGTTTTTGGCTTAGTAACCACGCGATCATTTTTCTTTTTGGTGGTCGAGGGAGGCTGGTATTTACTCTTTAGAGGAACATCGAAGTGTGAGTACAGACCAGTACACCAAGATGGTGAGTTTTTAGCAAAGTGTAGCAGTCGTATTATCAGTATTCTCTGTTTTATTTTCGTCCTTAAGGTAGCACTATTGTTCCAGCTATTTAATTTCGTAGAGTTCTTATTCTTGGCTTGATGTGCCGTAGCTTATTTTAAAGCTGAACCCCGTCTCCAACATGGCTGCAGACAGTTTCGTTCTCGCTTGCACCAGGAATGCAGTTTTCTTGGCTTTCATGTCGGAGCTTCATCGGTTGGCCAGGATGCAGAACGCACGACTTATGAGTGAATAAAAACACGGGAGACCTAGCTAATGCATATTAACTATACCCCAGAGATTTAGCTAGTGTCAAGGAGGAAGTTAGATAAATTGGAGGGAGAGGCGCTGTGGAGGAGGGGAGGGGAGAGTAGGGTAATTTAAGGTGTAATTTCGTTGATTTCAGCAGTTCAAATGGAGCAATGTGCTTTAAGATGTTCTTTACTACTTTTCAATGCAATTTTATGGTTTCTAAGGGTCATCTTTGACAGAGTGTCTGATGACTGGCAGCCAATCAAGGCCTCCACACTACTAATAAACCAGTAGTCTGATCTGCAGTTGTTTTTACAGGCTTACTCATCTATAGATGCATCTATGGGTAGATAAAATAAGCTAGGTTTAAACAAGGAGTCAAGGAATATAGATTTTTGTTTCAGTTAGATATCCTTTTTTTTAATCATGACCAGCTGCTGGCGGTATAGCCACAGCATATCGTTGAGCCAGGAAGAAGGAAGGATTGCATGAACCTCATCTGTTAGTCCACCCTTTTTTTGTCTACATGCTGTTGCCAAATCAACCCAGACTTTGCTCTTTGAATAGCCTAATGTTTTCTTTTCAGCTTGTTCTTGTGCTTGGTGACCTCCACATTCCACATCGGCAGCATAGTTTGCCTGCAAAGTTTAAAAAGTTATTGGTAGGTTGGCCAAGTTTAGCCTCAAATTCTATTATGAACTGACTGCAGCTTAGCTTTTCAGTTTTTCCCAAATAACAGCTGGAAATGCATCTGTTTACACAGGCTAAACAGATCTGTTTATCCTTAATTATCAACCCTATATGATGCTGTTCAAATGAAACCTCTTTGCCCTAAATATTGCATAGTCCTTTTTATGTCATTGGATATTTAATTAACAAATTTTTATGTGAACTTTGACTTTGACATACTAAAATGATGAGTAAAATGTTTAACAATATTTTACACTGTTACTTAATTTAGGTAATGTATTTATGCTAATTCTATATTTTACTCGCACTTGAACATGACCTTGCAGAGGTTGAAACATCTTGACTTTTTCACGTTAACTTTTATCACAAAATGTATACTTTTAGGTTCCAGGTAAAATACAACACATTCTCTGTACTGGTAATCTATGCACTAAGGATTCTTATGATTACCTGAAGACACTGGCCAGTGATGTTCATGTTGTTAGAGGAGATTTTGACGAGGCAAGTCTTTGATTGTTGTCCACACTCTAAACTCAACGTTTTTCAAAGTTGCCTTTAGCCTGAGAAAACAGCTGACATTTCACGACACCACTAGTGGTTTCCCCACAAAATAACGTCTGAGAAACGAGCGCAGAAATTCCATACTGATGACGCGTCACTACCGAGATCTGGGTAGTGCGTTTGATTGGTTGAAGACAATTTTTAGCCAATCAGAATCGCTACCCACATCTGGATGGGTAGTGAAGAATCATCAGTATGGAATTTCTGCACTTGTTTCTCAGACGTCATTTCAAGGGGAAACCAGTGGTAGCGTCACCAAATGTCAGTCCTTTTTTCAGGCTTAGTTGTCTTTTGATGACCTAAATAACTGGACACCAGATTTAGAATATTGGTAACCAGAAAAAAGAACCACAACAACAACAACAAAAGGGCACCTTGTGCAATATTTCCTAAAGGGTATGAAATGATGAAAATTGATGCCCAGTTATCACATGTGAATTTTGAGACACACACATCATCTAAGGGCTTTATATCTGGGCAACCAGGGTAAAATAGTCAAATTATAAAAAATATAAAACTACCGTAAATAATATTTCATTCAGATGTTTATCTCACTTTTGCCTTAGAAAGACCATAAACACAACACCACTGCCTGGCAAATGACTGCCAAACACAGGTCACCAAATTGGCGACTTTTGCTGCAAGTTTTAGTCTTCAATTTTTTTCCCCTCTCACCATGGCAACCAAAATGGTTGCAGTTTGCAGCACTGACATCTTGAAAGTTTAACAGGGTTTTTACTGAGATTCTTTATAGGGGTTGTTGTTGTTTTGTTACTTTGTTGTCTAGAGTTTTTTTTCTGGCAATTGCTTTTACTTCATGTGCATGCAGGTCTCCCCAATAAGTAGGTTCCTTGTAGCTACCAAATTGGGACATTTATGGGGATCAGGAACAGCTATGCTGAAGTGTGGAGAGTACTTGCTCCCCACTTGTGTGGTTCTGAGTCGACACCATATCATAATGATGGAATAGACACCTAGGGCATTTGTTTAATTTTAGGAGTCCAAGAGGGGGCATTTAAACAGATAGGAAGCATTTAAGGTGGTAGCAGAGGCTAATTTGAGCATTTTTTGTCAATTTTAATCAAATAAAAATATTAGAAGCGTGTTTAAAAAATAAGTGAAATTTTTGGATGCATGTCATAAGTTTATGGTGATTTAAAAAAATTGTATCTTCTTTCGGATAACTATTAAGGAATTTGTAGGGTTTATTAAAATTTAGGATGTGGTCGAAAAAGCCATTTTGTATAAAATTGCCTCTAAATTGAAAACGCTTAAATAATATTCGAAATTAAAAGACATGAATGAATGAAACCGTAAAAGAAGGGTTTACAATGCAGTGCGCCCAAAAATATTGAATGGGGAGAATTCTACAGGCAAAAACAATTCAAATACACGATGTGTGGATGTGTATTTTTTGAAAACGGAGAAAAAATCTCCTTTTTCAAAAATATCTGGATATGTGTGGACAGGGCCTAAGAGTTTTTTACAAAAAAGCTGCAATTTCCATTGATTTACATGCACTCAAACTGAAATTTGTCTTTGTTGACCTGGTCACCCGGTGGATAAGCTTGTAATAGAGTTGTCCAGTAGTAAAATGCAAAATACCGCCCTATATACATACAGTCATGATCGCCATACTTGGCTGGGTATTTTTCCCTAATACCAATCAGAGATGCAAGTAGAAATAGTGACACCTTTTGCTTTGCAATGATGTCTTGAAGTGAAGTGCTGACAAGTTTGTTTCTGTTCAATGAGGAATTTTCTTTGAGTTCCACGCAGTACAAGAAAACATTTTCCTTTCTGTGGCAAGGAAAAGCTTTTCCATCTATTACTAACATTATAACACATTAACCAAAGAAGGAAAATCTGCAGTTTCAGTGCCATGTAGTGGTAAAATGTAGAACATGACAGACAACACAGTCATGGATGTATTTAATCACAAAGTGTGTGCCTGTTTTTTATATAACAATAATAATAATAATAATAATAATGTTTATTTCTTATATTGCGCAGTCTAGCATGCGATAAAGATATGATCGAGTGCGCATTACAACACTAAAATCTTAAAGGAATAAATGGCTAGTTCAAATAATGATAATGATAATAATAATTTACAATTTTCGGAAAACAATAAAAGTAAAATATGAGTTAATAAAAGAACTAATAAAAAGCTAATTTAAAAAGATGTGTCTTTAGTAAAACTTTAAAAATGTTCAATGATTGACATTGTCTAATTTCTAGAGGGAGTCGATTCCATACTTTGGGCGCAGCATTTTCAAACGCCCTATCCCCGAGTGTCTTTTTTGTTCTATAGGTATTGTCCATTAGGAGTATGCCCCGGTATGATCTCAACTGATACCGCGAGCTCTCTTTGATTTTTATCAAGTCTAAAAGATATTGTGGTGCGACGCCGTAGATACATTTGTGAACTAGCATTGCTATCTTGAATTCTATTCTGTGGGTAACCGGAAGCCAGTGCAGGTTGATCAGGGATGGTGTGATAGGATCATACCTAGATATAGTACATACCAGCCGAGCTGCCGCGTTCTGCAGGCGTTGCAGCTTACCAAGATGAACAGCGGGCGTACCATATAATAGACCGTTACAATAGTCTAATCGTGACATTATAATAGCCTGTACAATGGACTTCCTATTATCATATGATAAATACTTTCTAATACGCCGGATGTTATGTAGATGGTAATAAATATTCTGACATATGCTGTTAATATGTGTGGTCATATTCATGTTTGCATCAAACCAAGCACCCAGGTTTCTAACAGAGTAAACCGCAGAAACCTTTACCTCACCTACTTGCAAGTCACTTATCATTATATATATATAATGTGTTAGAGAAATTCATAAGACATTTACGGTCAAGGTGCTTCGGTGTGTGAGGAAAATTCAAGACATAATTATAGATATTCCTCTCAAACTAACCTGAATACGAAGTAAATTGCTCATACAACGGTAGAGTTTGTGCCATGTGATTGTTTTGCAACCAAAACCGGGTAATAAAACTTTCAATGTGCCTGCTGTGGGATGTAATTTACTTAACCACAACTGTATTTATAGCACTCAGTTTACCAACTTTTCCCCCCTAAATTGGTCTTCGAAAAAAACCTTTAGTTGATTGTATCTTGCTTTAATGGAATTGCCCTGAACTGAAACTTCTATACTTAAGTATTGGCTAGCTTCAAGCTAGTTGAAAATCACACGATTCTGAGATGGTCATGTTAGCCTTCTGTACCACCTTAAAGAGAGAGGTGTTTATTGTAACTGTCACAAGCTCAACAAAACTGCATGGTATGCTTTCTGACAAAATATCTATAGAGTTTGTAAATAGCAAAACATCCAGTCCATCCCTTTATAATGTCTAGGCTGTCTAGGGATTCATATCGCTCTTCAAATCTCAACCTCCATGTCAATATCCTCATTCAGGGACATTGTCCTGTTATCATTACCCTATCCTTTCTTTGAACTTGTCATTCAACAAGATGCAATGTGCAACCTTTCGTTAATCAAGCAAGAAGCTAACTAAATTGAATGAATTTGCATCGTTTTGCTTTTTCCTAGTACCAGTATAGGGGGTGTCTGTTAGACAGGAGGTTGCATTAATTTTATTAGAGAGGAACATCTGATACAAACATAAAAGACTAAGGGGGGCATTTATTAGACAAGAGACGTTTATTTGAGAAAGCGTCCATTACATCATTTACAGTGTGTTGCTGGAGTTTGTTGTTGGTTCTCTTTGTTGCTCCAGGAGGTTTTTCTCTGAGTAATCCAGTTTACCTCCCCTCAAAAACCAACATTTCCAAATTCCAATTTGTTATGAAAAGTGTCCCCAATTAGGCAGGGACACTGGCAGGCTCACAGGTCTATCAGGTCTTGAAAACAATTTCTCAAACTCATTAATAATTCATAAAGAAAATTCAAAGGAAATTAATGTTTAATGAGTGTTTGGATATCAGATGAAAAACTGCTCATTTTTGCATCCTTAATTTCTCCTTCAAAAATGATTTTGTTTGAGAAGAAATATCAAACCTTCGACACAGTGTTTCATCACCAGATGAAACACTGCATCTCATGTTTGATATATTACATCAAGTGACACCATCTCTGAATTGTTGAAATCCTGTAAAAATGACTCAAGGTCTTGATTTTTCACAGAATTTAACATATCCTGAACAGAAGGTTGTGAACGTTGGTCAGTTTAGAATAGGAGTTTGCCATGGTCATCAGGTTGTTCCATGGGGAGACCCCGAGTCACTTGCAATGGTGAGTGTTGTTTAAGTTAAACAAAATTTGATTCTTATGAAGGCTTGGATGTGTTCATTACTGGATATAAGAGGACTTGTACAGAGCAATGTAGCGTGGCTATTTTTGAACGCAAGACAATGGAAAATAGAGTTCATCTGTGGGATTTGCCTAAGTTGTGGATAATATCTTTTGGGAAAACGTTAAGAAATTTTTTGGCTTCCTCTTTCTGCTTTCAATATATTCGATTGTTATAAAACTGCTAGTTTTTAGTAAACAAGACATTTTGAAAGCTATCATTTGGGTGGAGTGCATGGCAAAGTTGGGAAAACTTAAAATTTATCTTAGGAGAATGTTGGGGCAGATGTGAGGATAAGGCCAAGTCACATAACATAATTTTTACCAAGGGTAATAAGCAAAGTATCTTACACATGAATGGATGAGTGAGATGCAAACATGCAAGGAGCGGAGGAAATAAGGGCTTGCAATGATCACCATTAACTGATGGCAGTCCTAGCTGGCCTGGTACAACTGTATTTTAAACCTGCATGACAGGAATCTAAAGGTGTTGGAGAACAAGGTCAAAAGAGAGAGGGAGTGGAGGTTCCCCTTTTACCCTCTTCCCCCTCCCCTTTTTCTCGTTTCAACATGGCTTCCTCAAACAGACATAACAAATGGACAATCAGGGGAGGGGGGGGGAGGGGGGAAAGTGTCTAAAAATCAATTGACATTGTTGCCAATGTTCCCCTTAGAACACGATATTATTAAAGAACAGCAGGGTTATTAAGGGGTCCATTTTAGAGTTGAGAGAGAGAGAGAGTTGACTGTAAAACCAAAACCTTTTAAGACATGATTGTTTATTATTATTATTATTATTATTATTATTATTATTATTATTGTTATTATTATTATTATTTGTCATCTTCAGCTTCAACGTCAGCTTGATGTCGACATTCTTATTTATGGCCACACCCACAAGTTTGCGGCATATGAACATGAGGGAAGGTTTTACATCAACCCTGGTTCAGCTACAGGAGCTTATAATCCACTGCAAAGGTAAGACTCCTTCACGTTGGTTGGGGAGCCAGGGCATGGGGTGAGGATTTGATTGTTTTTGCTGGCCCTGGGGTGGGGCATTTGACTGATCTTGTTCTCCTAGGGGAGGGGATATTTGCCTCTTTCTGCGCCCAACATGCACTGGGATCAAGTAAATGTTTTAAGATATTGCAGTATCAATGTAAAGGGAAGCTCTGCTTTCCAAACAAAAAACACCATCAGGTTAAAATTGTGCAGAGAGCTTTAATTTTCAAGAGACCTTTAACCCGAGAGAGGTAAAACCTTAGCATTTTTTTTTTGTTAATTTTGAATTTTATGACCATTTTTGTAGATAATGTTGAAGTAAGTGTCTCAATAAGCAACAGTTTTAAAAATAAATTTTATTTGGTGTTACTCACAAAGAGCCTAACATCACATTCTTATATATTATACATGGGACAGTGTTTTAGTTGATACACCGAACTAAAATTTAGATTGGGCTCAATACAATGTTAATAGAGTGCACTCAAAATTTGAAATGACTTTTGATGCTTTACAGGACTAAAATGTTTTGATTCTGGCCACAATGTGCAGCCAGGGGTGGGGAAAATTTTGTACATTTGACTGGAATGATTTGCTGATGAGCAGGGAATGTGACAGCAAATTTTTGAAAAATGCCAAATCAGTTCATTCATGTCTCTCAGTCATTGCACAAGGTCATTAAAGCTCTGCACACTTTGTTCGCTTCTGAGAACTTAGGAGGAGAGGTCGACTTGTAGTAAGGCCCCAAGAATATTGTGATATCCAAACATCTTCAGTAGCAACTTGAAGTTTGGTGTTAAGCTTTACCCAACACTTCTAGGACTGTCTGACAAAATAAGTGTGGAACCTTTTTTTTTAACTTCTGTAGAACAATATAAGGGAGAAAAGTTTGACAGTCGATGAATTTTTTATGTCTTGGATGTAAACCTCTTTATTGCTCAAGGTCCCTATGCTTTGTAAAGTTGTCTTTTTTTTCTTATTTTTCTGCCTATCGGTCTGTCAAGATATGTGACTGTAAGGAAAAATTAGATGTAATCAGTCTTGGAATGTTGTTTCTTGTAGCGACATTGTACCGTCATTTGTTCTGATGGACATTCAAGCTGGTACTATTGTCACCTATGTGTATCAGCTGATCAAAGATGATGTGAAGGTGGAGAGAATTGAGTACAAGAAACCTGTATAGAAAATATGTATGAAAATAATAATTACCGTGTTTTCATTTATAGTCATTTTAAGGTTCATATTTTTCTGTGCTGTCACTTAGATTTTAAAAAAGGATGAAGTGTCCCGGGGGAATAGTTAAAAAGTTAATTATGTCTCCGTTTTGGAAGCCAGATTTTAAAGTAAGTCCTCACCCCCATATCTTTCCATTATACCTAAAATATGTTGATTGTCCAGATCAGTCTCATTGGTAAGCCTAGGCTTACTCTCACTGCAGCACTCTCGGCTTTGGACTTGTACCTCTGAGGGTCCCCAATAGTTTTTTTGGGATCCGGGATTTCCCTTAATTGAATCTCAGGTTTCGGAATTATAAAGCCAAATCCGGGTGAGATTCGGAATTGAAAGTATCATGGGAGGTGGGATGCCAAAAAAAAAGCGGGATTACAGAATTGCATGAAATTCGGGGTCCGGGTTAGGGGATTGAAGAATCCTATTGGGGACCCTCTACCTTGCCCAGAAGAGGAGAACAAGGGGCGTGGAGAAGTGCGGGCTCATTGCCTGAACAGGAGCTGGTAATCCCACGTACACAAACTTAGTACTCGCTTCACTTGTGCTGACGTCTGACTGTCTTTTTTGTGATGAGTTTAATCACTTAAAAATAACATTCAAAAATTATATTTTAGGTTGACATTTAATTTTAGTTTCAGATGTGGCCTCTGTGGGGCTTGAAAAGACCTGCAATTCCTGCTTGTCCTTGGCCAAACGTTTTCTCATTTTGCCTTAGCCTGCGTGGCCGGCGTTGAAAGGGAAGGGGAAGAGAATGAGGGCATGCAAATCCCCCCTTTCCCTTCCCCTTTCAATACCGGCCACACAGGCTAATTTTGCCTGCATGAAGTAATTAAATGCATGTCTTTGTTTATGATTTAGTTAAAAGATGACTTGCCTTGCCGTCGCCCATTTGGCAAGTAAGTTAGGTATAAAAAATACTTGCCCAGCAGGAAAATCTAGTTGTCCTGGTCATCCAGACAAGGCTTTAATCAGCCCTGTTTGGCATCAAGCATACTTAACTCATACTTGAGCCTGTTCATGGGGAGATTTACGAGATGTTTTAATATTGACAAAAGAAGACACAATCTGTTTTTTTTTTTAAGGACAGATTACTCGTACTTTGAATTTCAATAAGTCTTTTCCCACCCCATTACTACATCTGAGCCTGGCTTACCACTTAAACTAATCTTTAAGAGTATTGTATTATGCTCATGAAAGAACAAAGAACTACAAAGTTAGTGTAAGTGTCAGGTACAGTGGAACCCTGCTCTACGGTCACCCGCTTAATACCGACACCTGGTTATAACGGACAGTTTCGTTTGTTCCAATGGAAAAGAAGCTCATATATTTTCTCTAAATTTAATCCGCTTAGTACAAACACCCGGTTACGCAGACACTGTGGCATGTCCCATCGGTGTCCGTATTAATGGGGTTCCACTGTATGTGTCCTTTTATGTGCCAATAATCTCTGCCACCATAGTGAAAATTCAAATATTTTAGCTGTGAAATAAATCAACTGAAATGAATTTTAAATACAAATTCTACTTTTAATTATTTGCGCCGTGAAGCCCATAAAGTGCCCAGAGTGTAAATTTTCCTGCAGGGGTTTCAATAAGCACCGAAGACCGACGAAACGTGTCGGTTATTTTGATCAGAGAAGTCGGCTACTTTTCTCCCCGAAAGAAGAAGCAACTATTTTTTATGATGTCGTAAACAAATAACATATCATAAAATCTGAATGAAAACGTAAAGGCCCACTGCTTTTAAGTTACGCTTTAGTTATGCAGACGCTGTATTTCGGTCAATTCTTCACACGTTTCTTTGGAGGTTTACACGAAATTTGTTCTCGTTCAAATGTACGTTCGTTCATTGCTTGTAAGTTGTGTGGTTGATAATCGGAACCTGAATGAAAGCTACATTTTCTTGAATGAAAAACACACTCTTTCGTACTCAATTTAGTCCCCAGGGCCAAGTTGTTCGAAGGCCGATTAGCGCTAACCCAGGGTTAAATTTTAACCTGGGTCTCTCTTTCTTTTCATCAAAAGCATTTTCTCGGACAATTTTATCTACTCTTTTTAGAGTAGCCAATCATCCGATTGCTGACAAAAAGAATTGAATTCAAATTTCAAACTAACCCTGGGTTATCTTAACCCAGCTTTGAAAAACTCGGCCCAGAACGCTGGAAATCGCATTTTAGGGCTTTGAAATTTCAACGTTTTCTGAGGGGGCATCCCCCAGACCCCCCTATAGGTACGGGATTAAAGGTCCCTTAATGATACAGTCGGGTATTCTATTCAAACCTGCTGGCTACTTCAATTATTATTGAAACCCCTGCTCCTAATAACGTCATTGCTTTGGGGAAGTGGAGGAGCACTGTCATATGAATTCTTATTATAAACTTGTACACCCTCTAGCCCTAAGAATGATCGGCGTCAAATTTCTCATTGTAATATATATTCTTTACAAAACAGTGTGCTCACAGGAATTAAAGACATATCAGAGAAGATGAATTAAAATTGTACTTTTAAGTAATTTTATAGAAAAGTATAGGGACAACACTGACAACAAATGCGCATCACACTGGAGACTTATTGTACCCTAGTTAGTATAGATAGTATTCGTCCCCTAGGGCCAGTTGTATAAATCTGAACGTCAGTGGTAACTTCGAACTTTTGATATTCAACCCAGTTTGACTCTCTATTTTAACGTCCGACATTAGCATATAGTTGCTGGTGTATTTCACCCAATCTGGCGTAAGTAATAGCAACGTCAGTGTGGTCAGGACAGGTTTTAAGCTGAATTTCAAGAGCAAGGCTTACATACTTCTTCGCACTCTCAAGCTCACCCATGTCCTTGTGAATAGATCCCAGGTTACCGTAAGATCTTGTAACGTAACTATGGTCTGGCCTGAGTTTTTTAGGTATATTTTCAGAGCACTATCCTGATACTCCCTTGCCTGCTCAAGGTCACCTAATCGGAGGTGTGTAACACCCAAGTGAGCGAAAGTACTTGCAGTGTTAATGCTGTCGTTACTGAACTTCTTTAGCTTGATTTCACGAGCACGATTATGATAGTCTTCTGCACGCTCAAGATCACCTAATTGCATGTGTATATAACCCAATTCGGAGTAAGTAGTTGCAACATCAGTGTGGTCAGGACCCAGCTTCTTTAAGCTGATGGCGAGGGCGCGATCCTGATAATCCTTTGCACGCTCAAGGTCACCTGGTTGCTGGTGTATAACACCCAAGTTAGAGTAAGTATTCCCAACGTCGGTGTGGTCAGGACCCAACTTCTTTAGAATAAAGGCAAGGGCACGATCCTGATACTCCTTTGCACGCTCAAGGTCACCTAGTTGCTGGTGTATTTCACCCAAATTAGAGTAAGTACTTGCAACATCAGTGTGGTCAGGACCCAGCTTCTTTAACCTGATGGCGAGTGCGCGATCCTGATACTCCCTTGCCCGCTCAAGGTCACCTAATCGGAGGTGTGTAACACCCAAGTGAGCGAAAGTACTTGCAGTGTTAATGCTGTCGTTACCGAACGTCTTTAGCTTGATTTCAAGAGTACGATTATGATATTCCCTGGCACGCTCAAGATCACCTAATTGCATGTGTATATAACCCAAATTGGAGTAAGTAGTTGCAACTTCAGTGTGGTCAGGACCCAGCTTCTTTAGTTTGATGGCGAGTGCGCGATCCTGGTACTCCTTTGCACGCTCAAGGTCACCTAGTTGCCGGTGTATTTTACCCAATTTGGAGTAAGTAGTAGCAACGTCAGTGTGGTCAGGACAGGTTTTAAGCTGAATTTCAAGAGCAAGGCTTACATACTTCTTCGCACTCTCAAGCTCACCCATGTGGTTGTGAATAGATCCCAGGTTACCGTAAGACCTTGCAACGTAACTATGGTCTGGCCTGAGTTTTTTGAGGTATATTTTCAGAGCACTATCCTGATACTCCCTTGCCTGCTCAAGGTCACCTAATCGGAGGTGTGTAACACCCAAGTGAGTGAAAGTACTTGCAGTATTAATGCTGTCGTTACCGAACTTCTTTAGCTTGATTTCAAGAGCACGATTATGATATTCCTTGGCACTATTAGGGTCACCTAATTTCCGGTGTAGAATGCCCAAGTGATCGTAAATTGAAGCAACAGTAGCATGATCAGGGGTGACATGTCTCAGTCGACAACTAAGTGCATTGTCATAGTACTTTCTTGCTGTGTGAAACTCATTGTGTTCAGTACAAATCTCGCCAAATTTTAAACATGAATTAACATACTCTGCTAGTCTTGTTTTCTCTGTGAAATAATGTGCGTTTTCTACTGAAAATAGAGATTCATTCGTTGTAATGAAGGCTTTCAGATGTGGGACAATGTGTATGGTATCTGAGTACTGTCGGTTGTCTTCCGGGAAGGCATCAATAAACTGACTAAATGATGTCACAGCTGCATTCGCTGTTTGATGTAGCATTTGTCTCTTAGACTGGTCTTTCATTACAACAGTTTTGATGGCATCATGCACAACCTGATGCACACGAATAAAGGCTCTGTCTTGGTCCTCTTCAAATATCACCAGGGAACACCTTTTGGGTGTCATGTCAATCGCCTCTTTATCTTCGGCTTGTTCATCAACGTTGAGAATGTAATTGTTTACAATGTTCAAGTCTAAGGGTTGTGTTGCACACAGAGAAAGTAAAGTGAACGTTTGATCGATAATTTTGTCGGATAACATTACATTTTCAACAGCAAGTGATGTCGCTGAGGTCATGGACTTTGGGTAGCTTGGATTGCTTTCTTCAAGTAATTTCTCTGTGCTGCCTCGTTTTCCTTTTTGGACTTTTTCTAAGAAGTCGGCCCAGTGGAAGTTGGAAGTGGCTTTCTTTTGTCGAACCTGATTAACATACGTTGCGGCGCTTGCTAATGCAAGGGGTTGATAGTCCAACGTTTTCGCTGCCTCTTTCCCCATCTCACAGTCAGAGATACCAGATAGCATCGCTAATAACGAACAGGCATCATCAACATCCATACCTCTGTTTATAGAGAAATGCTTAACAAAGGAGTTCGTTAAAGGAATGGACTTAACGTCCTGGGTTGTAATCAGTACCTGGCCATTCGACCACTGTTCGTTTCCCCATTCTGGCAGATAGGCATGGACCCAAGACATACTAGGGACATTGTCCACTACCAGCAGCCAGGTGGTGTACAAATCGATTTTCGTTGCAACTAGCGTTTTCAAATTTGTGATTTTCTCTTCTGTTGTAATATCCTTAGAGTTAAGGGTGTTTGTAACTGCATATTCTGGGCACTTTAACTGTCGAACGAAGGAAGCGTACGACTCCAGGAGTGAATCAGGGTTTGCAGCATTTAACGTCATCACACATGGGGCAGCAGATGGAATTGCCTTTGCTTCGTCGAAAAAACGCTTAGCTACGAGACCTGCCAACTGTGATTTGCCACTTCCAGGATTCCCAGAGATGTACAGGTAACTGATGTGATTTTTGTTAGCCTCTTTTAACTCCTTGAGCTGTTTTGTTATTTCATTTGCCTCGCGATTCCGTTCTGTCACATGATGTGAAGGCTTGGGAGGAAGAACGCAAAACGGGGAGATTTCTTTTTCTAGCTGATCTTCAAGAACTTTTCGTTGTTGTTTTTCTTGTCGAAGTTCTTCTTCAAGATCGTCAACCTTCTTCATGATGAGTCTTAACTCCTCCGTGGGAAAACTTGTCTGATTTTTGACGTCATCTATTTGCTTAGTGGAGCTGGAGAGGCCGAGAGATTGAAATGCACCACGAACTTGACTAATGGCATTTTGAAAGTCTACGTCTGTCAGAAAGCCTCGTGGCATGTGAGCGAATTCTTCGTTTCTGAATTTTCTTAGAACGTCTACGCTAGTCTTGACTGTTGTGCTGAGACCTCTTCCAATACAGTCAGAGTAAAGAATAGCGTAAAAAAGCATAGTGCAGTCCCACTGGGCTCTAACCCCATTTGTTATAGTCACCAGTAGATGCGCGTTTCGTTTTTGATTCCGCAGCGATTCGCTGTTATAGAAATCCATCCCACTTTTAGGGTCATCTTTCCACTCTCCAAGAGTAGCCTTGTAGCGATTATCCCATTCTTGTTTGAATACAGACCGCAGACCCTCTGTTAACATATCCGTTGTTACATAGCAAATTCTGTAATAGTTCAGTTGTTCTTTAGTATATTCTGGTGAAGCGGCCATCTTTAGTTGGCTTTCTTTTAATGTAGCCGCCACAACCTTTTGAAAAAAAGGGATATTCTCTTCAGTTGTTAGGGAATTTCTCTGCGGGGAGGAGTGGGGGAAGTTCTTTTTAATTTTTTAATTTTTCTTTTTTGACTGCTGCTGCTTTTGAGAATTTGAGGATTTTGAACAATAGTCTCCTAAGGCCTACATATCTTTGCAAACTATAGTTTGACAAAGTATCTTTAGTTAAATTGAGTGAGAAAAGAATGAGTTAGATTCTTTCATATGAAAAATTTGAAATGACATACGTAGCCGATCAAATTTTATGTTCTGTTATATCTAATGCAAGTGACTTGTGCCCGAGTAGGGGGTGGGGAGGTACTCGACCAATCTTTGGGTATAGGTGAGCCGCTGAGGGTTTGAAACCCTGACCCTGTTTAGGACGAAAAATGCCTAAAATACATACTCTGTATAGGACAACACGCTCAATTTTGGTACCCTGTTTAGGACAACTCCTAAATCGATCGCGCATGAAACACCCTGTTTATAATTAGAACTTGCACAAATCATCTAATCATGCACACTGTCTAGGACAGACTTGCGCGAAATTGTATACCCTGTTTAGGACAGCGAGGACGAAAACCATACTCTGTCCAGCGGCACATCCCCGTATAGGCCATATAAGGGAGTACCCCCCCCCCCCCCCCCCCCCCCCCCCCCGCGCACCCGCGCCGGCTTGGACACCAACAGAAACAAAGCTCACTCACGCGTCTTTAAAAAAAAAAAAACAAACACAGCAACGAAACAAACAAAAAGAAGCAAAAGACGGGAAGGTGCACGTGGACGCAGTGACGACGACAGTAAGGAAA